ATTGCCAGAACAATCCTTCTGAATGGGTGGAACATCTCCCTATGGCAGAATTTGTTCACAATCATAGAAGACACTCCGCAAAAGATGCATCCCCTTTCTTTATCATGATGGGATACGAGCCGAAAGCTCTCCCATACTTACTCCCGGAATCGGACGTTCCCGCTGCTGAGGAACGAGTCAGAATTCTTCAAAAGATAAGAGAAGAAGCCGTCTCCTGTCATAACATTGCTATGCAACGCATGGCGGAAAGATCCTTCGGACAGAAGTACGAACCATGGAAAGTCGGAGATAAGGTATGGCTGTCCGCTGCCAATCTGAGACTAAAGCTCCCATCCCGGAAACTGGCACCCAAGAGATACGGCCCGTTCACTATCACGGCTGTACTATCCGCTATCACGTTTACACTCCAGTTACCGCCGCAATGGAAGATCCACCCTACGTTCCACGCTTCGCAACTATCCTCCTATCGCGAAAATAACGTACACGGTCCGAACTTCCTGGAACCACCACCTGATATTCTCGAAGAAGAAGAAGAATATGAAATAGAAGCAATCCTCGCACATAAAGGAAACGGAAATCGCCGTCGATATCTGGTATCATGGAAAGGGTATTCTTCGGCTAGCAACGAGTGGATCCCCGAAAAGAATCTGGAAAATGCCGAAGAGACCCTTAGAGCCTATAAAGCCAGAAACACGCTTTGAGGTTACTCAGTACCTCGACGACATCGTTCTCACCCAAATACAAAACCTACAAACAGAATGCCCTTCCCCACATCCACCTACACGCTCCCATACCACTCCACCTTCGATACCGCCCCTCTTGATTCCAATGACGAACGATACGAGACCTTCATCACCCAAGCTGAAGACCTCACCCTCATCGAGGCAGCACTCCTCTGCCCCCAACATGCTATCGAACTCACCAGAGTTCTCTTCGGAAGAAATGCCCATTCCATTAACCTCCTCATCAACATCATCCGAGCCACTGAAATCATCGAGCGAGTCTGCCGCCTCGTCGAAGACAACACAGTTCGCCACAGTCTCATGCATATGCAGAGGCGCATACGCAACTTTGCTTTGCGTCTTATTCCTGAGGAAGTTAAGGATGATATTAGAACCGTCATCCACATTGTCGCAGAACAAACCGCAGGAGTTGCTCGCCCGCCTTCTCCTACGAACCCCGCAACCACAGATGGAATCCCTCCTCCCTCTTATCAAGACGCCGTACCTACTCTTCCCGCTAACGTTCCTAATGAGCTATTGGCTGCGGTCAACAATCTTGCGCAGACAACGGAAGCCATAATGGCATCCCTAAGAGAGGAAAATCCCCAAGCGATTCCCGTCCCCGCTCCCGCCGTAGAAACCATCGAACATCCTCCTCATCTTTATACTGCATTTTCCGCCACCCGCGAAGAAATCGCTGCTGACCCAAATCATCAGTGCCTCTCACACTACGAGGTGCAAGATCTAGCCGACGCACTGGCTACACTCCATATTCATCCCCCGCTCGTCATCCCGAACTCATTATCTTCGCATACCTTTACGGATGGAATCGTACCGATACAAGCGTTGGGAAGAACCCAACCTGCCACTCCCGCTGAGCTAATCGCGGAGGCAGAGCGACAAGATGTTGCCGTCCACCATCCTATTCGACGAACCGCCCCATCCAGAAAGAGAGTACGAGGCCAGCGTTCCCGTACTGATAAAGGGAAGAAACGTGCCACCAGCGCCGATGAAGCACTTAGCCCTAAACCAGGCCCATCACCCTTACGAGCGACCTCTTCTAACCCCGATGAGAATCGCGTTTGCAGATATTGCAAAACGCTCGGGCATAGGCAAGTTCATTGCCCCGAATACTACTGCCGCGTCTGTCGAGAACTATCTCCAGGCCATCTTTCGCTCTACTGCCCGCACTACACTGGGGAATCCCCCACTTCCTTAACCTGGAAGGACGATGGATTCTATCAAACCCTCGCACTCTGGGAGAATGATTTAGATGACGCGTATGCCGCCCAATGTAGGGAAGAAGAAGCGCTCTATGAGTTAGAACGCATGAAAGCCGGACCAGACGACGGTCCAGATGCTCTCGATTACTCGGACGATCCTATCTACTACGCTAACCAGGATGATTGAATCCGGTGGCTTCAACCCTAGTAAGGGGGTAATGTTACAATCGCCCTACTTTCTTTACTTCTCACGTATCTGCCATTATGCCTTACGTTCTTAGCAGTTTAGCTTTCCTTTCTTGGTCTTACTTCCGCATTTAACCTCTGTACTATTATCTCACCGTAGCCTTGGTCCGTGCGCATATAGTTTCCTATTTAAGCACGTGTACTTTACTTAGAAACGTCACTTCAATCTTACTAGGTTTTACCCTGAAAACTTCCTTCTCTTAAGACCACCAATCTTAAGACGTCAGAACCGATCTCTTTGTCAAAGCACTCCTTTGACTAAAGTCTACGAACCTCTTCTTATCTGAAGAGCTATACAAAGACCTCAATAACGTGAACGCTCTGTCGAGCCTTTGTTGTTAAAGAACTATCCTAGTTCGTAACAATTAGGGGGTTCGGTCCAGCAGAAATACCGGACCTGTGACTGAACCAATGGTCCAGTCCGCAAAGGTTCGAGTTCGAACCTAGGTTCGGGACCGGACTTCGGAGGCACTACTCAGCACACCAGATGGCAGCAACACATTGTCCGACACACTAACATAGTATGTTAATGGCAGGCATTCAATCAGAGGATGATGAAACGCACCAGACAGCCTTGTAAAGCCGTGCCATCAGCGCATGATACTTCTTTTTACCGCCTTCAAAGATCCGAGTGAGGGTTGCTTCATGGGCTTTGTAAATGCTAATGTAGACAGTAGCATTGAATGATTTGACTTGAGAGCTCGACGGTGGATTGCCGCTCCTCCAGTCCATCAGTATGGCATAGATCTGCAACAACCGTCACATTTAGTAAGTATTCATCTAGAAAATACAAATAAAAAACGTACAACAGTTGCAATCAAGGCAACCATAGCTATGGGGAGCTCCGGCTCATCATTGCCATCTAAGACCGACACAAAATCTTCATGTGATTGAACTCCGATCGAGTTCTCGCCGTCGAACAATGACTGATGTAGCGTATCGATCATGGCCTCGTCGCAGAAAGGTTGATCACCAAGGACTTTACCCTGGGCAGTGACATCAATATCGACAATGAAACATGACACTAACCACTCACATCTTGGTTAGTCGGAAAAATATACTTGTGACTTTTCAGGAGCTCTTCGACCTCATTGGAACAACCTCTCCGAAGTGCGAATCGAGACACAACGATTTGATGAGCGAGCTTTTTGATACCAGTGCGGAAAGCACTAAGCCATCCCTCAGGCTTCAAGCAAGAGCATCAGCGTCAAGTTCATACCAAAAACAAACACGAACAATACTAGCAAGAGCAACTGCAAAGTCAGTGTCGTGTTTAAACCTCTTCAATATAGCCCTTTCTTTATGCTTGTAGGCAGCGTTACTGACTGCTTGCATAGCCATGGTTTGTTTCTCGGTGATAGTAGGGAATGCATTCTTGAAGATAGCAGATTTCTTGAGTTCAAAGACAGCCGTCTTCAAAACCATCTGTATGCGTGTGTTCTGAGCCTTGAGGTTGATGGAGCCGTCTGCTTCGTAAACTAGATTAGTGAACTCAGGCCATTTGAAAGGCGCATAAGTGTTGGATGTGTCACGTGGTTCCGGTCTGGGGGTTGTGACAGCGATGGAATCATCTAAGTCATGTGACGGCTGTGGAAACTGTGGTCTCTACAAAGCAAAAATCAGAAATAATCGTGAATCAGGCCAGTGAAAGGGATTGTTAGGTCACCTTAATCTGTTGTCGTCCTTCAAGCTTGCTCCTTTTCTTCTTCTCGTCAGGCTCACATTTGACCTTGACTGAGTCAGCTGTGACCGTGACGAGTTGGCCCGCCGGATCATCATCATCCCACGTTGATGCAGCGGCTGAACTATCACTGTAACATGAAGCAAGGCGGGGTGGAACAAAATGCGGAATCTGACATTGTACCAATTTGTAAGTGACTATCAGCTAGTAAATTTGAAATCTCATGCACCTCTTTCATTAGTACCTCATGAAGATTCTCCGGGGTTTTAGACAGTAAGTCTGAGATATCACTGTCGTCTTCAACTTCCACATTGACATCTGACTTATTGGATTCAGAGTCACTGATACCATATTCACTCGCAGAGTCGTCGGTGTCAACTGACACACCATTGTGACTTGTGAGAGTGGAAGCTACACCTATTTTAAGTTGAGTATCACTTCGACTCGGTTTTAAAGAGGCCACACATACTGCTTCTCTCACGACCACCACCTTCAACTGCTTTCAGTGTCTTCCTTACTGACTTTGTTGCAGGCGCAGACAGAAGCTCAGTCACCGTTGGTGCACGCTTGCGATTATTGCTGGTTGTATCATTCCAGACTGACATAGGTATGTAGCATAATTTTTTTTGCACAATATGGGTTTAGGCGCTCACCTTTGCGCTCCAGTGCTTTTTTCTTTGAAGACCGTTGCAACTCTTTGCGAGAATGTGAGTTTTTTTGGGTCTGATTATGACAGCCTCTGTACTCACTGCTATCTGCGATGTCATCAGCTATGTCTGGGGTTACGACCTCAGCGCCGGAAGACACTTGTCTCGCCGCTACTTTCTCTTTCTTTTTAGCATTCCGCTTCTGAGCAGCTATCTCAGATGGACGGGAGGCATTTTAAAAGGTGAATGAGTGTTTTCTCTTTTCAAAGAGTGTACTGCTATGAAATTGAATGATACAGGACGCTGAGGGTAAAAAGAATGTAGCAGTCAAGTTGGTGGGCAGTGTTAAAGAAAAAAGTTCATAGTCCGCTGAACTTTGCATGGGCAGGGTTGCAGGGTTGACAAAGTTCGTAGTCCGCTGAACTTTGCTTGAAGCTTTGTTTGTGGCTGTAGGTTGTCTTTGTTACGGCCCTTGTTTTTTTACCACCAGAATGATCTCAGTGGCCTTTCTCGTGTCAGTGGAACAGAACACAACCAAATCTGCCGCTTTTTGCTCGGTATCATCATTGATATCCGATTGCCTGGAAATCTTGACAGTGATCGCCTTATTCGTGCTGTTCGTGCCATCCTCGACTTCCTTTACCTCGCTCAGTACCCTTGCCACACCGATCAAACTCTCGCGCTTCTCACTGAAGCCCTGACTCGCTTTCATGACAACAAAAGCATCTTTGTCGATCTCGGCATTCGAGCGAATTTCAACCTTCCAAAACTCCATTTCTTCCGTCATTATGTGCATATGATCAAACTATATGGCACGACTGACAACTACAATACCGAGTACACCGAACGCTTACATATTGATCTCGCAAAGGATGCTTACAGAGCTACTAACCATAAAGATGAATATACGCAAATGACACTCTGGCTTGAAAGACACGAGAAGATGTTATGGCACAATAATTTCGTCCAATGGCGCCTTGCTGGCGATCCTCCTCCACAAGACAGGTTACCGCCCGACATGGACTATCGTCGCTCGATCAAGATGACGAAACACCCAACTATTAGACGTGTTCCATTGGATAGTGTAGTTCGCGACTATGGCGCCACTTTTTTCACCGAAGCATTAGCTCGTTATGTCGTTCGCACAAATCAACCTGGCCTTTCTCCAGCGCAACTTGAACAAGAAGCTTCCCATGTCATCCTTCCCTTCCAGACTGTTGCCGCATTCCATAGGGTCAAGTTCCATGCAATCAATGCTCACGGACATCGTGATTCAACCATTACCGTGGATTCAGTGCACTGTCAGCCACCACGAAAGGACAAAAGAAGGCAAATAGTTCCTGCGCGCTTCGACACGGTTTTAGTTAACGAAGATGGTGGTGGGAAGACAGGTGTTGATGGTGCGTGTTTTTTGTACTAATCCCTTGTAACATCATGCTAATATTTGATCATCAATATCAGGGTATCGTGTTGCACAAGTGCGCATCATCTTCACGCTGACAAGCCAGGCTACAGCTGCCTTATTTCGCACACCTGGAATTTTGCCTACCCACTTTGCATATGTGGAATGGTTCATGCCATTCGGGCAGCCTGAAGCAAACCATGGTTTGTATAAAATTTCCTGCCTCATTCGTAATGGAGAGTGTCTGGCAAGCATCATTGACATTTCTGATATTCGCAGGAGTGTACATCTTATTCCAAAATTCGGCCCTGTAGCACCTCGTGAATGGACCAGTAGTACCGTTCTGGAGCTTTGTTCTACCTTCTTCGTAAACTCGTTCAGCGACAGGCATGCTTATTTAACTATTATCTGACTAGTACTAGAATCGACTACATTCATCTGAAATACAATGATTTCTGTGAAAATACTACATTTCCTGGAATTCAACCGTTTTAAGCTCGAGTTTGAATATTTCAGTGAATTTCCTGGCAGAGGCTTTCCCTGATGTAGTCATACCACGTATATGAGTCGAAAGAGCCCATTCGTTGTCTCTGTTTGCGCAAACCGTGACATCGTAGTTTCTCAGAGAAGCAGATATGAGTGAATGTTCGTAGACCAGTAACGCCAGCATCAGGAAAACCCTCCTGCACAAAGCTAGACAGGGCGTAGCTATTTTGACGCGGTCCTGCCACGCCTGCCACGGTCGTGACGCGCATGTGACGCGGCACTGACAAGCCTTGACACGGCACTAACGATCCTTGACGCAGCCACTGACACGCCATTCCTATATTCTATATTCTATGGCGCTATATCTGCACATTTATTATTTGCGCATCCCGTGGCTTGCGCGCTGCGCGTTTTCATCAATACAGAGTGGGCGCGTTTTAATCAAGAGGTTCCGCATTCCCGCACTGTGCATTTTCGCCAATCCAGAGCTGGCGCGTCTTGATTGGACTCGAAACTCAACTTGAAGTTGCCACCATGATAATTATGATATCTACTTTCCTTCAAGCAATTTGAGACTCGGACCACTGCAGTATAGTATTTGTACTGGTACAAACATCACTCTATACAATTGAACATGACGAGTCTATGTCATACGATGGATGAAGTCCTTGTGGTTGAACATGAGTAAAACTAACATGAGTACTAGTAAGACTATGGCGAAGGAGGCTCAGGCTCGAAAACCAGTTTCTCTACTAGGAAGCTGCAAGTCTCGGAAAGAAATTGTTGGGCGTGCTTGAATGCCGCTCCCTGATCGAGAATCTTGAACATGAGGTCTTTGCATCCTTCACTGACACGTCCAAACTGCAGTTCCTTGAAGTGTTTGACGGCGTCGTCGTACGGGTGTGGATTCCTACCATCAAGAAGAAACCGGCCCATACCATTCCACCAAATTGTGTGCCAGTCCTCATTGCAACCAGTTGGGTCTTGACACTCATTCGAGTGCATCAAGATCTTCAGTTCCTCCGCAGCTACGATCCGGCAGTGACTATCAAGCACAGCCTGAACGTAAATTAGATTCAGAAAAAATTTTGTTGCCCATCAACTCCTGGTGGGCATGAGTGAGCTCGGTGATTGGGGTTTCTGCCAGTTGCTGAAAAGCATATGGAAAGATGGAGCGGACGTGGTATTTGATGGCGAGGTTGATTAACTTAGCTGAGTGGAAACAGTAACGTGCGGAAGATATGCGGGAAATAATGAATTTGCGTGCATGGGAGCATTGATACATGTCACAGAAACGGAGAAATTTTGAGAGTTCATCGATGCTATGAGATCCAGTATGCATTCTACCGTGACAAATGGTTCAGTTACTGACTAAAAACATAAAATATCAACATACCTTCCAAACGTGAATTCAAGAAACAACTCAAACGTCTCCCGAGATATTCCATTGAGGTGAATCGGTTTCTCATCACACATGCCATCTACTTCTGGTTGCCTAGAATTCTCCATGGTAGAAAACATATCACGAAAGACATTGGAAGACGTGGATAAGATTGAGCTGCAGAGTTTGTATAGTGTATTCTCTACCTGTCAATGGAAAGTTTTCAAATTAGTACGATAATTTGATAGATGAATAAAACTCACCTGGAAGATGTGGCTGGATGCATTAAAGTAATAGACTGGGTGTCGAGTTGGTACAACAAACTCTGTCGACATATTAGCAGGAAGTTGAAATTAGACGAAGGCAGTCAAACTATAGTTGGACTGCCTTCGTCTAATTTCAACTTCCTGCTAATATGTATGCTACTCTATGATTCTATTGAATGCCGATTCATTCTAAATCTTGTTTCCGCAGTGATCATGATGCCTATACCACCACAGGCATTTCTCCCATTTCCATCTCGCATGCCAACTCAAGCTCCATGGTCAGCAAATTTTCTTACTGCTCATGATACATTGTCAGACATCTACCGACGGACCTATCATATTCTGCATCAAGAGGATGCTGACCCCCTTCAACTTACGTTTCACTTAGAGGCTGTATCTGGAGATGCTATACCCCTGCTCCAAGCACTTGCACATGACCCGCAGGGGCATGATATGCATGATTGGCTGACTTGTGCAGCAACCTCGCTTGGAGATCTCTCTGTTCAATTGTTGTCGTTTCGACACAATACTCAAAATTTGTGAGTCGTATTATCTCATTTTGAATGATTGTTGACTATGCATGAATCCCAGAATGGACACCAACATTGCGTTTCCAGAACCAGTGTCATTGCTGCATACAGGTCGTCCAGGTCGTCCAAAAAAATCCATCGACCTTGCGTTCCTTTCCAAAGCGGTCTCGAATTCACGTCAAATTAGACTTATGGAACTTGCCAAAATGCTAGGAGTCCACAGGAACACGCTGCGACTCTATATGAAGCACCATGGTGTTGAAAGAAAGTACTCCGATCTTACCAATACTGATCTTGATCTCCTCATCAAGGAGTTCAAGAAAAAGCGACCCGATTCAGGTATCCGGTACATTGTTGGGTATCTTCGCAGACATGGTCTCCAGGTGCAACATCGACGAGTAGTAGAGTCGCTTCGCAGGGTTGATGGCTTAGGCCAAGTTCTGTGAGATCGACAGGTCAAACATCGACGGAAATACCATGTGAAGCGCCCCAATGCGTTATGGCATGTAGATGGCCACCATAAGTTAATTCGATGGGGGATCGTGATTCATGGGTTCATTGACAGGTTTTGTAGAATGGTGTGATGTGTTTTTTAACACATTTGCGTTGATTACTGACTCTAATTTATATGTCTATTAGATAGTGGGACTTTGAGCAAGTAACAACAATCGCTCCAGCACAGTTTTGGAACTGTTCATTCACGCAATGCAAAACTTCGGAACACCTTCTCATGTGCGAGGAGATTGTGGAGGAGAGAATCTCGATGTTGCAATGTATATGATAATGCGAAAAGGACCACGTCGTGCATCCTTCATGTGGGGATCGTGAGTTGTAATGTGTTTGTTCTGCAGCTTTATGTTAGGTACTAATTCTGGACAAGTTCTACATGGAATTTGCGGATCAAGCATCTATGGGTTGAAGTTGGCATGCAGTTCGCTAGGAGGTGGAGAGCGTTTTTCACTTGACTTGAAAACCATCACGGGCTCAACCTTCACAGCCCTAGTCATATCTGGTTGCTCCAGACTCTGTTCCTCGATGAAATCAATCAAGATTGTTTGGATTTCCGGGTGGAATGGAACTGTCATCCGATACGTGGTCCTGACACCAATGATAAGAGCCCTAAGGTAAATGCGTTGTTTTACATTTATGTGACACTGACAAATTATCTCATTGTGACCCAGGATTTATGTTTTTTAGGTCAAATCCAGTTCGGCGTGTATTGTGATGACTGCGAAGGGGTCTACCCTGACGTGATTGAAGAACACTACGGGGTACATAGCCCTACTATGACTCGACGACAACATCAGAGTGGAGCAGGGCATCCACTTGATGAAGAAGAAAGTGATAATGAAGAGGAGCCTCTAACTATGGTACAGGCTATCAACGATCAACAACGACACCATATCCACCACGATGCTATCAGTGTTCCATTGAAAATCAGTCCTTTCGTCAATGACGAAACACGCCGGCAATTCTCTGCCACCCTTATGGAAGTCATAGCTGAGGATATAACACCGTGCGACTGCAGGCTAGCAGGAAATGAGTGGGAAGGCAACAAGTATCCAATCTTCGAGGCTATCCCTGTTGGCCGACGAGGGTCGAAAGAACTACATGTGTCTCTTGCCGAACCAAGCTGGTTCAACTGTGCGAGGCTATGGTGTCAGGCCTTACTAGTGTTGTCATACTTTTTAGCGGCTGGGCAAGAGTAACTTAAACTTACAAGAGTCATAGTAGTTATTACTCTTGAAATACTTACTTGGACAATACATCAACCAGAAGGCAGGCAGAATGTCATAAGTTTCAAATTGTAAATATAAACCGCACTATCTAGTACCTGTTGACTATCCTCTTCAAGTCCGAGTCGTTTCCATCTTTTGTCTCCTCTTCCGTGTGAAGTCTTTCTCCACCTTCTCCCACTAGTACTATCGCTCTGCATGGATTCCGAGAGCAATGCTATGGACCAGGAGCACTTCTGTAGAGGTTCCAAATCTGACAGTCAAGTGTGCGATTGCGAAGAATTCTTTGCTCGGTTGCAGGATGAAGGCCACTGCGTGGAGTGTGGTCATGGTCGCAGCAAACACCCTCGCAAGGCATCGACTCGGAGTGGCAAACCACTGGAAGTTCAAGAGGATGAACAGCCTCACTGACTTGGAAATACCTCAGCTGTTGTCAAGGATATTTTTGACCGAATCGCTAGTGGTGGCAAAAGTGTCAATGAAAAGTTGTCCACCACCAAGCGACTCACTGAAGCCGGTGTACCACTCGCCAATGCCTGAGAGGAAGCCTTATCGACTCTTTCTTCCACCCGACTTTCTGGTTACAGTAAGCTGGCTAAGGGCCCAGTGTCGTCGGGCTTGCGAAAGGTATGGGATCATCGGCTAGTGCATGAAGATTAGTTTACATGAATACTGAAGTTGCTTCTAGGATCGCAAGGATACTATGAGTAGCTCACTGCAACCTAGTAAAATTGGAAGCCAAGCACGCAGGAGCACTATGTCTAACCTTTCCACGACCGGAGCTAACACTTTTCGTGTTGCATCAATTGCTCTATTGACTTGCGGTGTCGATGTTAGTCAAAGACAATCAATAGTCTACTAAACCCACTAATTCATAGCATTTTCCAGAGAAACAGTCTCATCAGAGCGCCTAAGGCCCCAACCAAGAATGGCTAGAATGAAATCCAGGCTATGAAGAACTGGGGTTGTTACCTTGACAAGCCTGAGCAATTTATCATTGATAGCGGATGGTCCTACCACAAGATCACCAGCCAGTTACGAAGCTGGTTTCCTAAGGTATTCGATTTTCTGGATATCCCAGTTGAGAAGTGACCATCAGCGCCATCACGATCATTAGCACGGCCGACACAAGATGAAAAGCCTATTTGGCGACTCCTTAACAAGAGTGGACAGACATTAACGGTTGTCGATGTTGCATTTCCGACTGGGACTGACCTAATGAAACACAAGGGCCAAGATCAAGCAAGTGTCAGCGAGTGTCACCTGTGGTTTGGTGTGTTCCTGTTTCTTTCTCGTACTACTCACTGCATGTTGCCCTAACAATTCCATCAGTCACACGGAACCAGATTCCAGACAATGTTTACGAATCTTGGAACACTCAACCGGTCGTAGCTGGTTTGGATTCTGAACACGATGATTGCAGTGATGTGCTTTTGTCTGACGTGGACAGTCTCAATGATTTGTTTATCTCCAAGTCGGACAATGAGCTTGCAAGTTCTTTGATGGAACTGGAGTTGACTGATGCTGAAGTCGAGGATCCCTAAGGCAAAGGAAAAATGAAGGTTGTATCGCCAAAGAGAACTAACAGTGAGTTTTCGGTGTTGGCCTTGATGTGTGTACTCATCCATTCCAACAGTGAAATGAACTCGCACAGTTCTTTCCCCTGAGCAATCGCCATTGGAGGTTCAGAGAGCAATTTGAAAGAAAAGTAAAGTTAAACAGGGTAGAGTTTTTTCTTCTGTTATGTTTTTTATTATTATTCAATCCTTTACTACATACTCAACAGAATCAGCTAATGATGTTCAAGCTGCCATTCCCTTGTTTTTTTTTATGGAATCTGGGCTATCGACAGGCTCTCAGCCATTTCCGTTGACTCAACTTGCTCAGTCCAATAGCCTCAGTGAGTTTTCCATTTGTGCTACTTGTTTAAAATTTAACCTGTGCTGTTGTTGCCAGAAACGGCATCGTTCCGTAGCAGTCCACTCGGAGTGCCAGCTGGTACTGCCATTCAATTCCTAAAGTCGAAGAGTGCATTATCATCCCCACCTGAATTCATGTCAGTCAGCGAGGCGGATGTCTTGTGGCACAGTCGATCACATGTTGACAACCCTTTTGCACTGGAGCAGATCAATCCCTGGGATTCTCGCTATTCCATGAAGCCCACTAACCTCCAGCTCATGTGAGGAGGGTCGGTTACCGTTTCCCAAACAATGTTTGACAAGTGACCGGGTCTAGTATTTGTTGATGACAGGCATGCTAATTTGGTACTATTTTTTGTCATTTCTCATGCGTTGCAGTACATACCACTATCTCATCCTCATCCTCATCTCATTCCATACTTATACCTTGCATCCTTGTGGAATGAAGTTTGACGTGGCATGACACATGGGTGATGTGGCAGTGACGAGGTTTGACGCGGCGTGATGCGCGGGTGACGCGGCAGTGATGAGGTTTGATGCGGCACTGACATGGCATGGAGGAGGTTTGACGCGGCACTGTAGTAGACCTTGACGTGGCATAGAGTGTGGATGTTGATATTAATACAGAGACTGTGAAGATATTTGGGAGAACTTGTCGTGGTGTGAGTAGCGCTTGACGCAGCCTAAACAAGGCTTCTGACATGTCATGGTTGGGGCTTGACGTGGTGGTGCAGGGTATAGAGAGTTGATCAAACTTGGCAGGGTGAGGTCGAAGCTTGACGCAGTGAGACAACATTTGACACTGCATCTGAAAACCAACATAGATGAACGAATTAGAGGTAATGCAACATACAGGACTGACGCGCAAGATGCATACTAGTAGTATGAATGCAGAGGACAAGCACTGTAAATTTGGTGAGAGGCAGATACAGCACTATAGAGCCTGTTCTATCAACGGCTTGCCTCATAGACGGGCTGGTCACCAGTCTACCTGTACGCAGGCAGACACTCATATGTTGATCATTAACGACGATTCAAAATGTTTGGAATGCGATATGTAGTTGTGTAAACATGATCTGTACATAGGAATTTGTTACAGTGCCGCATCACATATGCCGCATCAGTGCCGCGTCACAGGCGCACGCTAGACAAAGATAGTCCAAATTATGCGAACTTCGATAAAAAGACAAGAATATTACAAACTATGGATAAGATCGATAATTTCTTGCTAAACTTCAACATTCTATAATGAAGTTATAATGTGCTATCTAATTGTCACAAATGTATGCCTATCGATATAAGAATCAACAAAAAAAGTGTTACATTGTTCAAGGACTTCACTACTTGTCCATTGACAAGGTGCGGCAGGTCCGAACTTTGGAATAAGATGAACACTTCGGTGGATATTTGCGACAGGTATAATGCTTGCAACTCTCTCACCCAATTGCACAACGCGGCTGACTTTGAACATTCCATGGTTTGAATCAGGTGTAGGAGGAAACCGAGTGAACCACTCTACATAGGCGAGATGTTTGGGAGGCTGGATTGTGGTAGGGAACATCATTGGGATAGAATTCTGCGGGATCGAGAATATGATGCGAATCTGACCCACATGGTAGCCTGTTGAAAATATATCATTTGTGATTGTCTATCATCCTCGAGAATCACAAACTGACCTTCAATACCTACAGAACGGCCAGTCCCATCATTAATAAGCACGGTATCAAATCGTGCTGGGACGTCAGTGCCTGTTTGACTGGTGGCTACACGGCGAGGCTTGACGTGCACGCTATCCACCGTGACACACAGATCACTGTGTCCCTGTGGATCAACAGATCGCCATTTGACTACATGATACACAGGAAGTGTACGGAATGGGAGGTGAATAGTGGCAGCAAGGTCTTCGAGGCGGTGACGAGTGGTGGCTTCATGTGGATGATGCAGCTGTGCAACATATCTTGCAAGTGCCTCACGAAAGTACGTGGCCCCATACTCCATGACTAATTTCTGAATTGGGACACTTTTCACACTCAGATGCTTCATTAATGTTTGAACACAGGTGAAAGACAGGTTTGGTGGATGTGGTTGGTGTCGAATGAGACTGCCGTGGAGGTGCCACATGACATACCTCTCATGTCGAACGATCTTCTCTTTGCATTTGAGCCACTGAGTCATTTGGACAAACTCATCTTTGTGGTTTGTCGCACGATACACATCTTTGGCCAAGTCAATGTGGAGGCGCTCAGTATATTCTGTATTATAATTGTCAGTCATGCCAAAAGTCTGGATCATCGACATATAGTGCCGGGCTGCATGGAGCTTTGGGAGATTGAAATTGTTTCAGATTCCAAGGTCGACAAAGATCTGCTTGTTGTCATGGAAAAGATCGAGAGCTTCCATGAGAAGAGTCAATGTTTTGGAACTATGGCAAGGATATTGCGCAAGGTACCAGAAGTCAAGTAAACCTCTGACAGCTTGTATGAGATGGCTCGGTGCAAGTTGGTTGGGGAGCCGGATGTCGACAATGATGCCAAGTAGAAAACGGCATATCTGACTATGCTCTGTACCACTAATTCGTGAGAGGCTAGTGATGCCTTTCGTAAAAATTGACAAATATGGTGATTTGGGGGGAGCCTCCGACATCTGGCATCTATTTCGGCTGCTCCAAATGCCTCGGCCAGCCAACCAAGGAGATGCTTGATTAGACCCTGATATAATTGGTGGAGTACATCTGGTGTGATGGCTTGGAAGATGTTGGTATAGGGTAAAGGCTCCCAGAACGGATGTATAATGGGTTTAATTCCAGCTTCGTGGCATGCATGCACAAATTCGATATCTCCATGGTCAATTGCAGCCAATGCATCAAGGACGACATCAAGGTTGTGCATCTCGAAAGGTGTGGCATTGCTTCCAAGTTTGTCTGGTAGTATGTCACATTTGGGACATTCCGTGGCTTTGACTCCTGTAGCCAAGACTTGCTCGGGGTAGTCACCAATGAAACAAGAAAATAAGGGATGACCACGACGCAGGATACCATCGCCACTTTTCATAACAATACCATCTAAGCCAGCTTCCTCCAGCAGTGCTAAGATACGGCCCATGCATGCGTGATACAGGTTTGCAATGGTTCGGCGTCATGAAGCCTTGTTGGTGATGTGCTTGAGACGGGTGGTAGGAAGATAAGCGAGAAGAATATGGGTACGACGAGAGGGCTTTTGGTGAATCTCCTTAGGAATATTGCCGATAGTAAGGTAGACTGGGTAGGCTGTTTTATTTTGGAACATCGTTACTTGAGTCTTGTCACTCGAAATGATAATTGGAATGATAGTAGCACCCGGTTTGCGCTGATCAAGCTTTTTCTATTTAATATGTCAGTTACGTTCAATGAGCGGAAGTCTTCAAAATACAAACTTACCTGGGTATCCCACCACCATTTACCAGTATGCATATCATGGAACAATTGGACAGTTTGTTCCTTGTCTGCATAGTGGTGTTCTGGTGCAAAGACCAGAAAATCTGCAAAATCTGGGTCGCCATACAGAGCCTTGACACACTCGATAATGTCCCTATAGAAAATGTCGAAGGCCTCGCCTGAAATGACAATTTGTTCATGCCTGAACTTTGGGCGACCAGGAAGCTGCTTGTCGATGATCTTGTTCAATTCCCTTGAGTTTTTGTAAGAAAGACCAAGCTTTTCATGGACCTGATGATGAAAATAGACAGATTATCTACAACTCATGTGAGATTAATATACAGTCACTCACTCTGTTGATACTGAGTAAGTCCAAAAATGCGGTTGAAGTTGGACCGCATAATTTAGCCCACCGTGCAACTTCCCAGTCCACCTGAGAGTTGAAGGGGCATAGGGATTCATAGTGTTGTTGATAACAGTAGCATACGCAGTGTTAGCATTGCAGATGTCATCTTGTGGGATGGGCTGCCCTGCTCGAGCATCAGGGTATCGCACAATAGTGATTCCATCTTCCTGAAGCACGTGTTGCTCGATCTGCTGACGCAACCCACAATCCTGGCTATTCATCTCTGTGCTGTCTTCTTCAGCAGCTCCAAGTTGGTCCTCTAAATCCCTTCCAGTCATGAGGGGTTCCCATTCGGCATCATTGAGGCCAGGTATATCATCCTCGGAATCTGAGCCATCACTACTTTCACTGCTGCTGGCATACTGTCCCGTGTCGTCAGGCCATTGAATTTCATCTTCCTCATAAGTACCAAAAAAGTCACCTTCAAACTCAGGTTGTCGATCATCAACTTCTACCTCGGTTTCCATGGGATTATCTGAAGGAGTTGGAGTTAGAGAGTGGACATTTGAGCATGATGCAGCAAGCACAGCCATGCAGTGTTGATTCCTGGTTTTAGCTAAATGTTGACTCAAGCCTGTGGCCGAAAAAGTCATGTAACATCTGGTGCATTGGACCATAGTGATAGCAGGAAAATATTGTACACCAATACCAGATACTAGCTCATCCGCTGTTGATGTCATTTTTCAGGCTCCGCTACCGTATATCAATGATATATTGTCTGGCAAGTCTGGAGGTCAGATTCGCACACAATAAGATGGAAAGCTCACCACCCTTGTCTCCTGTTCCGTCAAGCAGTCCACCTTTGTCCCCTGCTCAAATGAACAGTCCCGTAATTCTGTCTTCACCTGACTCCTCAAGTCCATCTGGAACGACTCTCTGTAATTCAAGCCAAAGATCAGTCTCCTCAGGCTCTTTAAACACAATGAACACGGTGTTAAATGCCTCACATCTGAGTGTTTCACAGCAAAGCAAACCTGCACCTTCTCAAGCAGATGAGAGCCTATTCTGTAGGTGTGACAAAACATCAAATTCTCGATTGTCAAGGAAGTATCTTCCATACCCCTCCAATCCAGCTCCATTGGAGCTTTGTTATGCAGCTCAGGTGATGAAGTCAAAATTCCAACCAGAATTTTCATTGGAAGAAACACAGAAGGTATGATATATTTACTTCCAGACACCAATGACTCATTGATATGGTCTGAAAGCTTCAAGAACAATTGGAGAGCGGCCTCTCCCAAATGTCGACTCCAACCTTGTACAAAGGATACAAGGCCAAGCTCGCAAGTCGCGAGGTTGCACTGAAGGTACAACAATTCAGATGGTGAGTCTGAACAATGTGTTGGGTCTTGCAGAACCTAGCTGCTATTCGACCCTAAAGGGTTTCTGGACCAGGCTCAAGGCTCAGAGTAGAGGAAATATCATAAAAACTTGCTGATCTCTCAGACTCATACTGGTAACTGGTGAAAAGATTGATTGATTATGTAAGCTACAAAAGTGCCAATATAAGGTAAGGTAAAAACAGTCTCTACAAGCCCAGCCAGAAATGAATCCCTACAGCGCACCAACGCATGGTGTTGGCAACGTGGGAAATTGATGAAGTTGCACAATATGAAGCATTCCTCATTAGCATCTATGGTGAAAATGAACGACAGTTCAAGATGGCGGAAGGGGAATTGCAGGGCTTCAGAAAGATTTTTTTACAGCATGGCCAGGCAGAACTTGAAGATGATAAGCGATATCTTCAAGCCGTTGAAGGTATAACAATTCAGATGGTGAGTCTGAACAATGTGTTGGGTCTTGCAGAACCTAGCTGCTATTCGACCCTAAAGGGTTTCTGGACCAGGCTCAAGGCTCAGAGGAGAGGAAATATCATAAAAACTACTGAGGACTCTGACTCATACTGGTAACTGGTGAAAAGATTGCTTGATTATGTAAGCTACAAAAGTGCCAACATAAGGTAAGGTAAAAACAGTCTCTACAAGCCCAACCAGAAATGAATCCCTACACCGTCTACAAGGACGAATGCGAGATCCTCTGTGTCAGCAGTGCCCAAACCGACCAGATTGCAAAACTCCTCAATTCATGCGTCAAGCAGGCATTTTTGAAGCCTGCTGCAGCATTTCCTCTTCACCCTAGCAGTGGACTTCCCTGCATCAGCACTAGGGAACCCTCTGACTCAGACCCAGACTCGTCTGATGAATCTTATCCAGACGAGTTACCAGAAGACTCGAACCATAGCTCTGAAGATTCATGCGAAGGTGCGGGCTCTGAAAAGTCAGCTGGCTGATAATCACCCTTCCAGCGGTACGGGAAATCCTCAATTCATCAGTATTCAACTCATCACAAGTTGCAGGCTCTTACCACTCAAATCACACTTCTCGTTTCATATTCAATCTTTTTTTCTCATATGATCATTATTTATATGGAAGTATTTATTGTGTCCTGGCGGTTCATGAATTCGCATATACACTTACAATGTACTAGAGATTTGTCAGATGCACCCCTCATGTTGTTGTGTTATTATGCTCATTTCCGCGTGATACAATTGCAATACAATTGACTGAACGTTCGAACAGTTGTCATAGAACGTTCCATATATGTCGTCGTTTCAACCATTCCATATATGTCATCGTTTGGACCATCCCATATGTGTCATCGTTTGGACCTTTCCATAAATATCACTCTTCCGTGTAGCTGTGTTGATTACCCAATTGTAATGCCGCTTACCTGCCAAGGTCCCCTGATCCTCCTCAATGTAAACATGATCAAATACAGTTTGAATTTGATTGCCCAACCGGCACGCTCATCGCGAGTCAATTCAGTTGTCGCCTCCATTCCCCATCTGTTATTTTACGTGAATTACTCATGCCCTCTCTTACCCGTATACTAATATCAACCAATTAGCAGTGCAATCGTTAAACATCAGATCACGATTGTATGGCTAGTATCCGGTTCTACTTAAATTTTCATTATGTACAAGGGCTTTTGGACAACATGTTTCTGGCATGTGATGCCAGCTCTCCCACTGTGATCACCATCTTCTTTCTCCCTACTGCCATTGTTTTCTCCAAGCAAAGTATGCAGGCACAGGATAATGACAACTTGGGCGATCCACATTTCCATGACCAACTTCAAGATGGGTTTTTCTTGTCATCAGGCTATGATGGATTCACAGATGGAATTACAGGTTCGAACAGTAAGTACCCAACTTAGTGGCACACCAACCGCTCGTTAACAGATCAAGCAGATAATGACATGTCTCCAATCTCAAGATTTCTCCATATCACAGACCCACAATACGCGACAACTACTGGTAGTCTACCACAGTCGCTAACGGATGAGGGTGCTGCGCCATCATCTAGCTCTAGCATACCCACCTCCGGGCCATCGTCTACCAGCAAACCACTTGACGCTGGCGATAACATCCACCCTTTCATTCCTTACTCAGCCCAACTCGACTCATTCTACCATCCACCAGTTCCCCAGTTGCCGGCAGAGTCATCACAGCCTGAGCATCCTGAGAGACAAAGGCGCCCTCGACCCTCCGTCACACCATACTTCATACCTGAGCCCAGAGTTTCTCGGACGTCTCAGCCCACAACCACAACGGCTGCCCTCGAGACCATGCAGCCTGCGATGGCCCCTATCACTATTCCCGCTGCTGTGCAGCCAGCTACGCCCGCCCTTGTCGTCATTAACGTCAGGCCCGATGTGAAAAAACAGATTGTAGATTGTGCAAAACGCAGAATCTCAAGATTTGTCTTGACAACGTTTGCAATGGCTGGTACTGATGATGAGAAGGCGGCACTTGTTTCTCTCGCGATTTCAGAGGCGACATCTGTGCCGGGTATGAACGGTATATTTTTTACAAATAATTTGCCGATTTGGATACTAATTTATATTTTTTGTAGTTACTATCAAAACAACAAGTAATCAACGTCAGCAAGTGACAGTCGCGTGGAACAACACTTTTCGCAAGCTATTGGCCATGGTACGGAGTTGTCTCGCCTTGGGCTATAGTTTCTACCCCCCAGTAGACTCCAGTCTCATGCCGATCCAATTTCATGGTCGTGTCATAACAGCGTTGATCAACGATACTCGTAACCCGTTAGCCTTCATGCATAAATTTACAGTCGATGCAGTACGTTTCAATTTTATTTTCAAATACGCACTAATTTCAATCTTTTTTCAGGATGGGAATGTCACCATCCTTGATGGGGTTCTTGATAACCCCTTGATATTTCACATCGCTATCCATTTCATATGGTGCAGTGACCTCGGCATCTCAGAATTCCTCTCCACCTCGACGTCAGACCGACTCCAACAACTCAACTATGCCATCGCCACTATTGGAGCAGTTGTTAAGTTAGTGCTGCGGGAGCAGATTCCTCATCCACCAGTCATCCTGCCATTCACGCAACATGAGGGGAGTGAGACATTTGATGACATCATGCACCATATCGGTAACTTGGACCACATCCAGAAAATCGTGTTCGACTATCAGAAATCTCACATGCTAAATGTTGGGGACTCGCAGGTCTCGTCCACCAATGTACTAGCTCAACTTGACATGATGATGGCTAGGGTAGAGTAGATATCACATAGCATATGTAGCTTGTTTCAAAATTTTCAGCTTGGTTCATACATGATATCACGACGTCTATCACTATCAACTAATTAGTACTAAGTTTGTCAGCATTGCATTAATTAAGTATAGTATGAATAGCTGTATATATTTTCATAGCTTGCGCTCAACTCGGATACTTCATAATACAAAGATGCTTGATTAAAAAGGAACTACAGAATGTGAAACTGTGGTGTGAAAAATTAAAGGGAGTAGTGGGTGGGTCTAAAGAAAAACTGTAGGTGCAAGTGGGGAAGTGTGACTTGGAGGTATGACAAACTCCATGCCAAAACATTCTGGCAGGCTACTAGTAGTACTTTTTGAACGACTCAGCCGTGAGGCATAGTACATCACGCGGCACCTGTACATTGAGCACCCAGGGACCTGGACTAATCCAAATGAGATGCTCGAAAAACAATGCTCATTTTGGGAACTGTTGGACATGTGAGTTTTTCCCAGTGGCAATGGCACCATCCATGCAAGATACATAAATATGCATACCGAAGCTGCCAGTGGTGCAAGCCATTTAGCTATTCCCCACATCACATTCTTTACTGCTTCAAAACATATACACTCATTTACTATACCGTTCAGGTTAGCATGTCACACAGCAACAATACAGGTTCTGGTCGGCCCTCTGGGAGTAAGTACTTACCACTATACCGAATCTGAACCACTGCGAACACCTGTTACTGCAACAGATCAACGAGGCGCAAAAAAAAGAGCTATGGAGAACGCAGGTCAGCAGATGATTGAGCTAGTAAAAATTTGAGCAGCACTTACAGGATACGGCACTAGTCTGGATGACTACGAAACCATGTCGGCAGCATCCTGCTGCAGAAAAGCCCATGGTGAGAAAAACTGCACAAAGGAAACCCCAAGGGTCTACAACTGGCAAGCATGGCCGCCGTGGCATAGCAGTTACTGGTGATCATAGTAGTCCAGACGCTGAGATCCTGTCACGAGTTCCAAATACAAACCATTATTCGTTCCTTAATTCTAAGTCCTTTAAGTGCCCAGCCACAGCGCCTGTTCCTAAGAATATGTTTACTGTTGAAGAAGTTCCTATTATTGCGTCTATTGTAGAATTACCAGAGTCACGTGATCTATCGGACAATGCCGAAGATGTTGATGTCATGCCTCGCGACACTCTTGGAATATTCCAGAGTCTTACTGCGGCTGCGGCACATGTTATGACATCATAGTTATATATAGAATCGTACGATACCTTTAATTATTCTGATTGGGTAGTTAGTTCATACTCAGTTTCGATCTCAGTTTCAATATGTGTATATAGGTAGATCATCATAGTCAGTAGTTCTTTAGTTCAAACCTCTTGTATCTCCAAGTGAGCAATCCAAGACGTACCTGCTGCCTTATCCTCTTTGTGATTATCTTGTTGTTTGAGTCCTAGTCTCTGCCCTGCGTTAATTCGTTTAAGGGGTTGTGACAGATCCCCGGACCTGCGCCTAAAAAGCGTCGAGGTAAGTGTTTGAACTTAATTCAGGATCATAGTAGTAGTACACTTACATGAAACTGTACCGGTACATAGTTGCGAGTGAGGTGTCCTGCAATACCAAGAAGCGCCGAACATGTGAGCACCGACTCGTGTTATCATGATGACTAATTTAAAGGTACCATCTAGTTACCGAACCGCAAGATTCCGATGTTGATGTTGATGAAGGCCGCATGAGCCCTGTCGCACAAATGAAAGGTCAGTCAACTTCATCTTAATTGTATCTGGCGGTTCAGTGACATTACAGGTGTCGCAGTAAAAGAAAAGGAGCAACAGTCAGGCACGTCCCAGCAGGCGATTGACGATGAATTTTTAGTGGACGAGGAGCCCCAGTCCTTATCAGCCGAAGTATGTATCATTGTCGCGCTTACTGTTCATAGTAACTGATCATACCTTTAATTGGCTTCCCTCAGACACCAGTGTTCGTTTCAAGGTCAAAAGCTGAACATGCTGATTTCATTTTGACCCAACCAACCTGGCCTTCCACCGCTGCCCCAAAGAAGCTCACACGGACCGCTGAACCATTTCCCTTCCCATCGTCTCAACCAAGGACCACCAAGGTAAGTCGACTCGGATATCTACTTCTGTGTTGAAATTATAGTACCATCCCTCAGATAACCAAAACTCAGTCTGCACATGATCAGAAACGAGCAAATGAGGTGAGTGAAAGTTCTCTGGCAGTTATTTTTTGCACTCAAATGATTCAGATCCTCTGCAGACACCTGTCTGGGCAGATACTCAAGTTGTCGCATCAGACGAGGAACCTGAGCCTATGCAGACCGCTGAATCATTTCCCTTCCCATCATCGGAACCTGAGGCTGTCATGGTGTCATATGACTGCAGTGACTCTGAGGAGGACGACCCAGATGCTCCTGTTGAATGCTCTGGAAGGCCCAAACTCGTACAGACAGACACTGGTAAGTTAAAGCTGACAGATCAAGATATTGACACCCGTCGTGTGGTCCAAAGAGCGATATTGGAGGCAAAAGTTCACATGACATTTGTCAACAGCTATCCGGAGCTCACGGAGAAGAGCCTGTTTATGCAGGATGCACTCTTAACAGCAGCTCGTGCCTGCGGTGTTTCGCCTATCCAGGATTGCCTCAAGAGTGATGACTTGTATGTGACAGCTCTCGCCACGCTGGTACGCTGAAGAGTCAGACTCTGCAATATTACTGTTGGTTGAACCTCGCATACAGGTTGAGGCCCGAGTGCCACTTTTTCACACTGAATTAAAAGACGACGCTTGTGCTCAAGTATCAGCGTATTATCGTCTTGGCCCTGACTGTGTCAACGCTGCGAAGGCTTTGCTGGTCAACCACGTCTACCATTATGAACAACATTTCAATGTAAGTGACTATGTTCCCAGTTACACATATTTTTTTGCTCAGTGCCATGTGCACTCTCCAGGAGAAGAACGACCCCATTCCGCAGTCAAACAGGCTGTACTTTGCTGATATTTTACCATATCTAATGAAGGGGCGCTACTTCAACGGGCTCAAGTCGGTCGAGGTGAATTTTTCAGACCACTTCAAGAAGATAGCGAACAACAAGGCCCAGCGGCCTGAGGTTACCATTCCAATGGTTGCTTTAACCAGTACTTCGGTATATCTATTGATCTACTTGTGAGCCCAAGTCCATGTACTAACAATGAGTGCATAGGTGTATGCTGCACTCTTCTGGAAGGATAATGGATCCCCAACTAAGTTCAACTTTACTGGCAATCTATTCAGCGAGGTCTACTTTTTTCACATAAAATTTCTTGAAGACATGAAGGTGACGGCGCCACGTAAGTTTCACAAGATGATGGCCGACATTTTCGAGGCTATCTAGTGAGTTCATTTTCGTGTTGTGTTAACTCATCTGTCCGAGTTGCAGCTCACTCCCAAGCCACCCAGGATCGCAAGGACATCACCTGCTGTCTCGGGGTCATTGAAATTCACGTACTTGGGGTAGGCAGTCAAAGTCTTCTGACGAGTTGGACTCGATACCATACTATCCATCCCATGGACCATCACTGATTATCCCGGCAGCAGCAAACATTAAATGCAGCGTCTTGGGCAGAGTTCCCAATAAAACCTGGGGATCATTCTGTTTGGATGAGCTTACTCATGAATAAAGTGTGGCCTGGAATGAATGTGGAGTAAGCTCAAGGTTGCAAGAGATAGCATCGAGGAGGTTCCAAGAGATGAATACCATTTCCTGCAAGCTAGGTACCAATCTGCACTCGAGAGGTTGGGCACTGTGTGAGGCAGCAAGCAATAAGTAGACAAGGAATGATTAAAGTGGGCCAGCTGCTTACCAGAGTTGACTATGAACCTGAGTAGTGGAAGAAATTGAAGAATGTATGATTGAGTGAATGTTGAATGTTGGTCGTGGTTGATTCAATCAGCGCTTAGGGTAAAAGTCCAATAAAAGTCCAATGCACCAATTGCACAAATCAAGTATAATGTTCTGCTACACAATACATTGAGTATGTACTACTCTACTGAGTTTGGCACTTTGTCATGATGCACCAAAAGTCTGTACATCCTTGTATAGTGACATGCATGATTAATTCAAGAGACTCCACCTCAGGGAGTTGTTCTCAGACTCAGACTGTGCGAGTGTCCGCCTTCGACATTTGTTGTGACAATTGATCTCTGACCGGTTTCGCACATGACGCTTAAGATGAATCAATGGATAGCTGGTACATATGAACAGTGTATAGTATGTAGTGGGTAGCTAAGGCAATCAGACAAACCAAGACACATATTGAGGAATGGACACCTGATAATGAGTAACAAGCGACTGGCATAACATATTAACGAAAATTACTTCCGCCCACTATGTTTCTTGCCTTCCAGACCCAAGGTAGTGCGCAGCCATGCTGCAAGGTAGCTTGCCCAGAGGCCATCGAAAACATTGACAAGTTCCGAATGTGTACGAGAGTGTGATGAGATATTGCAAGGGAAGACCATAGAGGAGCTGAAGCAGTCAAACTGTTAGTGATGGGAAGATGGAATGATAAACCAAGTACTGAGTAAGTCCTGTCGTGAATTGAGGGGTGAATTCGATCACTTTGCCCTGATCATCTTCGACAGAAGAAAACTCCATGGTGGCTGACATAGTAACAATAGCGGACCATACAGAGGCATCAGCAGTATATCAGCCTGATCAAAGAATGAAGTAGCTCTATATGGTGATGAAATAACTCAACCCACCTGGACATATATGCTGACCAAAGCTGAAAATATATCCAGCAGGGTGGGAAAATAGGCTGTCCAGTGCCGGTGGGAAGGATGGGCAGGAAAGATGAGGTGGGATGGGCAATGAGCAACTCACTATGCTGCGTTTTGATCAGAGCAGTACCAATTGGATGGTCAAAATGTCCAAGATCGTTCTCAAGATTCAACATCAGCTGTCAGGTGAAAAGAACCAGGTAGAACCTATCCAGATCAGTCAAAAAGCCCCATGGAGGGGTGGAGGTCTATATATATGCCATTTGACCCTCTCACATAAGGTTTGCGCAGGCACGGAGAAGCTCTTTTCTGATTCACCATTGATATATCCTTGGATACATCCCTTTGGACAGCGGACAATGAGACTAGATGATGTATCCCTATTTTAGGGCTATAGTAGTATTTGGATGTATCAATATGACACTATGGGCTGGAAATATGCACCATATGGCCTTTGGAAGTCCCCCATCACAGCCAATGCTATTTCTCAGGATGTATGTGTTTCACATGGTCTCTAATCGCTCGGCATTTCAAACTAATCTACATGGTGACATTAGAGTGTCGGCTTGGCCGCCATTCTTGTAGATCCAGTCACAAAGGATATCTACTGCATTGAACAGCGTGCATCGGAGGGTGGTCAATGCATGGTTATTAGTAACAAGACTCAAAAGGAAGTCTTCGGCAAGGACTTCAATGCGTGCACGCGCGTTTATGAATATGGTGGAGGTGCCGCAATTGCTTATAATGGGACTGTGTACTCTTCAAACTTCATGGACTTCCATATCTATGCTGCAAAAGATGGGAATATCAAACCAATCACTCCAGGTGTCTAGGTACATTCTTTGGACTATAAAGCTGTACTTACGCTCCCTGCACAGAGGATCCAAACAAGCTTTATCGCTATGCAGATTTCTGTGTACACCCAGTCCACACTGATCTACTCGTCGCTATTTTAGAAGACCATACCAACGACACGCCGCGTACTGTGCACAATTCTCTTTGTATCTTCAACTCCTCAGCTGCCACTGTCACATCTTTGGTTTCCACCAAGGATGCAGAAATTGAGTTCTATGCAGCACCAATGTGATGCTTGGACCTGCGCTGGGCGGGAACGAGTGTCTTTTCATACTTGTGTCAGGAGATATAGGAAGTTACCCGCTGACATCCTTCCTTATGCCTCTAACAAACGAAGCCCTCCTCGGTCGCACTTAATCTGATGGTCTTCCGTCCTCGGGTCCGAATTTCTGTCCCATCCGTCCATGTCCTTCCATGTCCGTCGAGTTCCGCTGGTGCATGTTTATTTCTATCCGGGTTGACTAATAATGTGGTATGGCTTATTACATGTATCCGCGTGTTTCATTCCGTGCACGTTCGCATTACATATTACTTATCTGCCTCGTTTCATCGCTACAAGTCTCGCCTACGGATTCCGGAGACTCATGCAGTAGGATAAAATCTCGCGCATCACATACAGTAAAGTACTTCCCTTTCCTCGGACGCTATCCCTTGTTTCGCGAAGTCACTTAGATGTTCTTAGTATTTTGGCCAATTGACGATCTTTAACTCTCATTTACTCGAACCCGCGCATTCTCGACCGCTCCGAGAACGCGCATCTAAGTTCCTTACCTAGGCTCTGTGCGAATCCGTCCTGTACGCAGGTTCAAACTAAGCATTCCATACCTAGTTATACCTCGGCTATAACCCTCGTCCATACCTAGCCGCTACCCGCAGAACCGCACATTACCTAGTAACCTCTCGCTCTCACTCATTTCCAATCGTGCCTTTATCGGGCTCGCACCCTCGCCTTCGCTTTCCGTCCATTGCGTTCATTCTTCTGCATTCTGCATCTACTCCCTTCGCATTTTACTTGAAGGAAGCACTTCATAGCAATCCTCTTGGGTCGATATAGCACACCCACACTCAGTAGGATTTTATTAGTGCTCTAGCTTGCTTGCTGGCCAGTCACTATTACTTCTTCACACTGACATTTTCACCTTCTGGTGATAAGCTTGCATGGCAGTTCTGGAAACACCCAGACATGCCTTGGGAGGGTGGACAGATCTATGTGGCCAACATCCATTACAATTCCAACACTCATACACTTAGCCTGAGCAACACAAAGCTGGTTGCCAGCGAAGCTAACAATCTTAGCGTGTGTTATCCATTGTGGGCTTCCAACGACAAGCTGCTCTTTACCTCCGATGAAAGCAAGTTTGCAAACCTGTGGGAGTATACCCAGGCGTGTACCAAACCCGTTCTCCCTTCTGTTGTGCAGCAAGACTTCTGCATGCCCCCCTGGACGTTTGACAATTACTCATTCACCTTACTGGACAAGAATGGCGCAAAAGCTATCTGTGTTGTGTGGCAGGCTGGCCAAAGTGTCCTTTATGTGGTTGATATCGCTGCAGGTTCCTACGTAGAGATTAAAGACAAATTATTTGACTTTGTACTGGTAAACAATGTCTGTCATCTGTCGGACTACACCTTCATCTTCACGGGATTCCAAAGCAATGCTCCTGGCACAGCTATGCTCTGCACTCTTACAGGACCATTGTTCATGCCAAAGTTCCAGGTACTCAGATCTACTGCATCGGCATCTGCTGCTCCGCTCCGTGAAGGCATGATTTCGCTCCCAACCCCACTTGAGTTCAAAGTGGTAGGTGACAAGACTGTATACGCCATGTACTACACCCCAAATAACCCAGCATATGCGGGTTTGAGCATTCCAAACGAGAAGCCACCCTGTGTGCTTAGCATACATGGTGGTCCCACAGGATTAGAGACCCAATGTCTGAACTGGCTGAAGCAGTATTTCACAAGCAGAGGATACACTTGGTAGGTCCTGTCAACTACCGAAGTATTGTCACGCTCATAAATTGCAGGTTGGATGTAAACTACAGCAGCTCTTCAGGCTATGGGCATGCATATGTGTATGTTACCATTTACTGTCGTGTTTCTCATGGAACAATGCTGAATATGTGACAAAGGGAGCACCTCAAAGGAAACTGGGGTATTACCGACATGAGCGACTGCATTGGCGCAATCCAATCACCTCAAGTCAGTTCCCTCATCAACACCAAATGCACTGTGATCTGCGGCAGGAGTGCGTTTACTACCCTTGCTGCCATTTCCCTCGACTCCTCCGCAGCGAGCAAAGTGAAATTCTTTGCAAGTGCCACGAACAGCTTCAGAATTTCAAACATGGAGATTTTCACCCTTGGCAGCACTTTCCTCCCATTCCCACAGTCTAAGAGACCCAGTTTTCTTGTAGAGCATAACTAGTCTCTGAGACCCACCCTCCCGCCATCTAATAATAGTACACACCCTTGCATTCCCTCACAGGCCCTCTGAGACCTGCCTCCCCAGGGAGGTCCTTAACAAATTTGCTGAGAGGTTTGTGCAATCCTCTCACACACCTCTACAAGCGAGGTATCCTTCTCCATGAGAGGCATCCTAAATACTTCCAAAGCTCGTTCACCTCCCCAATTTATATTCTAAATGTTATGTTTATAGAGATCTTGCTAGATCTTCTGTCAGATGACCTCCTGTGTGTCCTCACACCCAATATTGAAGAGGGTTGGAGCACCTCCTGACAAGCCTAAGCCTGAGTGAACATGCAATGCAATGAAAGAAAATATTGTATTAATTTATATATTGTCTCTGTAGCTAATATGAGTATATGAGAGTGTGCAAGAGTGTATGAGAGGATGCGAGAGCGTGCACTGGATGTACGAGAGTGTGCAGTGGAGGTCCGAGGGTGTGTGGGATGTGCAAGAGGGGGTGCAAGAGGGTGCAGTGGAGGTCTGAGAGGGTGCAGCAGAGGTCCGAGAGGGTGCAGTGGAGGTCTGAGGGTGTGAGAGGGTATGTGGGATGTACGAGAGGCCTGGAGAGGGTGCAGCGGAGGTCTGAGAGGGTGCGAGAGGGTGCGCATAGGGATCTGCACAGGTAAACCCCCGAGTACCATATACAAATAATAAATTTATTAGATACCAAAACAATAAAACATCATGATGCACCTTTGCAGCTGAGAGAACTCCCCATCCAGAGTCGAGTCTACATGCGCTGCATGTGAGTGAGAACGAGGGTGCCTCCAGGTCCGTCCTTTCCTGTCAATTTTCTGCACTCATCTCTAACTCTTCTCCTTTTCTCTCTCACTCTTTCCCTCCTCCTCCCATCCTTTTCTCATCTTCGGTGTCCTGGTGTCATCTGCAAGCATTCGCGCCACGTCAGCACTTGCTGGTGTGCATCGGGCATTTGTGCAAGGTGCTGGTGGCATTGGATCCAGTGTGGTGGTCATTGGCATTGGTGGTGTTAGAGTATGTGCCAACACCGACATGAATGGCAGGGGTGAGGGTGCAAGAGGGTGTGCGGGATGTAGTAGAGGCCTGGAGAGGGTGTAGTGGAGGTCTGAGAGGGTGCGAGAGGGTGTGTGGGATGTACGAGAGGGTGTAGTGGAGGTCTGTGAAAACGAGCAAGGATGAGTGACGACAAGCAAGAACGAGCAAGGACAAACGAGAATGAGTGAAGATGAGCAAAAATGAGCAAGGACAAGCAAGAACAAGCAAGTCAAAGACGAGATCATGCACTAGCTGAGAGCGGGACATGGCCGCAGCACCATCGGCATCAGGTAAGCAGTTCAAAGATGAGGTGACACACTAGCTGAGAACAATGGTTATGGGCTTGCATGACAATACACTTCGGCTGTGGGACTTTACAATAGGTGTTGTGTTGAAGAAGATGGTTGGGCATCACAATAAGGTGGAGGGACTGGTGGTATCATGAGATGGTCAATGCAGCTGAATTGCTTGAGATGAGCATACATACAATGACAATGAAAAAGATGCTTACCTGTTGCAGAATTTAGACATGTGCATGAAGGATGTATAGACAAGGGCAGTCATGGAGGTCCGTAAGGGTGGCCAGGGAGACTCGCTAGTACAGATCTGACTTCCAAGTTCCTGGTAGTTTTGTCAGATGCAGACACATTCTGAATACTGTTGAGGGTACTAATGTCGATTCGAACACTACAACTTGAAGAAGTGGGAGGAATTCTAGTCTCCAGAGAGCGGGAAGTGTGATGATGCTGTCTGTTGGAAGATGGAGGAGTAAGCAACGATGGAAAATTTCAATGCACTGACCACTACGTACAATAGTTTGCAGAAAGAGAATACACAAAGTCATGTGACATGACACGAGGATGAGACCAAGTTGGTTCAGCGCAGCAACCAATCAAATAACGAATAAAACTCGTACTGAAACATAAAACCCTAATTGTGAACTGAATATTGATAATAGCAACACTTTGAGTGGTCAAAAATAGCGATATAGTAGGCCTTGCATATTGCAAGACACCATTGTGAGGGAAATGACTTGGAATATGATACTCTTTGTGCAAACTGTGGGTTATTGCAACAGCCGCCACCAATACTACTAGTAACTACATATGTATAGTAGTATGTACTAGACCAGAATTCATCACAGTATTGAACTCAACAACCTACCACAAGCACCTCTCCACTGAGTTGCTAACGGCCTTCAATGGCACACATCTTTAACACCAATTTCCAAATCTTTGAAGCTACTATATGATATACTGGTATGTTTCTTTAAAACAAATCTTAGCCTGCTCAGGCTTAAGAACTCGGATTTTAGCGTGACTGCTCGTACTTTTGTTGACATTCACTGCCTGGGATGACACTCTCAGCTAGGCCACTGCCAACCACAAATCCTGCACTCTCAGCCTCCTGCTGCCATCTGACACTGTCATCCCACTACCTGTAGCAGCTGGGACCTGTTCTTTTGGTCATGGGACACGGGGATGTGTTGGACTTTGTTATGACTCACGAGCTGCTGGGATGGAGAGGCAGGTTTGAAGTTCCCATCAAGAGATCCATGTTGTCTCGAGCTCACATTCTACAGGCGATTGATCTTGATCATGACGCGCACCTGCTTTCTACTACTCTCAGCAGTGGCTCAGCCTGAGCCACAGCCCAATACAGGTAAGTGAGAACATAGCAGTGCTGCCAACCAAACTATAATTTTGCAGACGATGGGATGTTGTAGAGGTCTCTCGGGACTGTGTCTTTGTGCAATCGATATTCAAGCTCCACCACGCCATTCCCAACACCGCAAACACCATGTGCAAACACCCAGTGCACGTCAGCAACTGCTGACGTGACTTAGACGAATACGGACGACGGATGAGAGCAGGAAGAGGGAAGAAGGTGGGGAGGATAATGAGGGAGAGGAGATGGACGAGACAGGCAGGAAGGAAGACATCGAGTAATGTGAATGTTTGAATTTATCTGAATATGATCTAACTGTGCCTCGTTTTGCTCATGGTCCACTAAGCTTGAGTTCGAGTAGCGTAGGGAGCTCGGGATACAATCCGCGCGGTGGAGAACTTGGAGTGATTGTAAGACCTATTGAATATTTTCGAAAACATCAGATGTCTGACTCACCGAGTTATAGCACAGCTTCTGTGGTGTCAAGAGTGTCGTCGCCAGTCTGCACTCTCTTGGGTGCAAAAGTATGGGATGGAGGTGCAACAGGATAGAACAGAGCTGCGAGAGGGTCGCAAGAGGATGGGGTGGAGCTTGTGGATGTGCAAGAGGATTGCGAGAGGATGAGATGGAGGTGCAAGAGGATGAGATGGAGGTGCAAGAGGGTGCGACAGAGGTGCAAGAGGGTGAAACAGAGGTACGACAGAGGTGCAAGAGGGTGTGACAGAGGGTGCGACAGAGGTGCAAGAGGGTGTGACAGATGTGCAAGAGGGTCGCAAGAGGATGGGGTGGAGCCTGTGGAAGTGCAAGAGGATTGTGAGAGGATGGGACGGAGGTGCAAGAGGATGAGATGGAGGTGCAAGAGGGTGCAACAGAGGTGCAAGAGGGTGAGACAGAGGTACGACAGAGGTGCAAGAGGGTGCAACAGAGGTGCAAGAGGGTGCGAGAGAATGTGACAGAGGGTGCAACAGAGGATGCATCAATGGATGCAATGGAAGTACAAGAGGGGTGCAAGATGATGCGCAGGATATCAATTAGTGTACTAAGAACTTGGGAATGATATGATCACATACTTGGAGCAAAGCTATTGAAACGCACCTGCAAAACTACCAAGCTGACAAATATGTTGAATGGTACTTGTGTTAGTGGAGGAAGTAGCGTCTGGAAGAATTGGAGCATTGGAGGCATCCTGAATACCTACATGGGAGGGGCCCTGGAGGCTCATAAGGAGGTGCTGGAGGCCTGCGAGGGAATGCGAGAGCATGTACTATTATTAGATGGTGGGAGGGTGGGTCTCAGAGACTAGTTTCCCATCACATAGAAACCGGGTCTCTTAGACCCTTTATAGGCACCGAGAAGTGCTGCCTGAGGTGGAGATTTTTGCAGAAGACATGCACAAGTTCGAGCTTATGTATGTCATAAAGCTTCTTGGCGGTACAAAAGAAGAGATTCCAAAAGTTTGGCACGACCGGAGCCCAGTGTATTTCTCTGCTAACATCAAAACCCCATTACTCGTATGTTCATATCTCGATAAAATGTGTTGTGTTGGGTAGATAATCTTTCAAACAGGTTCTTCAAGGTAGTGCTGCTGAAGTCTGGTTCAGTCCAGTTCTTGGGCCAAATTTTCTGAATGCCAAACTGAACCATAGGTTCGGTTTAGCTGTTTTGTCGAACCCTGGACCGAATGTCACCGAACGTGTTCGGTCAAAGGTGGTTGGCAGAAGTCGGCAGAAATACGATGACCTAGTATTTGTTCCTACTAAAAACAATAAAAATTTGACATGTGGCCTAGAAGCCCAAGGGCCATTCTATCCAAAAACTTGTGTCCAACCACTTTGTTAGTAGTTACTGGGGAGAAAGTCAAAATTTGGTCAAAAACAACTCAAATCACTACTTTTTCACAGGCAACTGCTGCTCAGCACGACAGTACTTATCTATTGAGGGCCACGATAAACATCTAATTGACTGAAAAATATGATCATCGGGCATGCTCATGCAGTGTGGTTACCTCACTACAAAAAAGGCAATCAAGGCCGAATTCTATCAATTCTATCCCCATCTTCCGCTTCTGCAACTTCCAAAGGTCGTTTGCATGGATTCCTCCCCTTGCAGCAGACTCTGATCCACCAGAATTATCTCACAGGTTCAGAATCAATTACTGATCTGAGAAGCTGATCAAACACATGAGACACAGGAGGCTGACCAACTGCAAGAAAATTATGGGGCAGAAGGTATCCACGGTGCCAACTGACTTTGTTGAAGAGATCAATGTACTCAATTGAAGCTCAGAGAGTGCATCAGGGTATGATATTGATGCACTTTTGACTCATCAGGTATAGCCTTAGTGTAGTAGTCAAAACCATTTTTGCCATAGTACAAACATTGTTGAAAAGAGCTAAAAATGCTCACAATACATTTTGCCGACTTTTGCCATTCTGCCATCTGCCAAGAGGCCAATTCCTTTCTGCCCACGACACTAGATGTATGTCGGATATGCAAAGCAGAACTCTCTCACAGCATCCAAGAACACGTCCCTGATCCTTTGGATAATCAGTGCTTGCTCATGTTGCTGAACATACATAGCTTCCCCTAGTCTCCTATTACATTCCCGAAGATCCAGGATGTTTCTGAAAACCTCTTCAACAAACTCATCTAGCTTGTGAGCCGGCATGACAGGAGGACTTGCTTTCAGCAGTGGCCAAATGAACAACTAAAACAAGGAGATTAGGTGGGTCAGACTATCAAGTAATATAAGGCACTGACCGCCTGACAATGTCGTCCTGCAGACTAAGAAGTGGTGTTGTGCGGATGTTGATTCACCTGCCAGAGATGGTGGTGCATGCGTGTGGCGAGGATTGCAAGAATCAAGACCTGAAAAATATATGTGGGGACAACCACAGATGGATCAGGAAGTTGATTAGTAGACAATTGAGAAAATTCTGGTATGAAAAGTAGAGAAGATCATACAAGATTGGTGGGCTTGAGAGTGGGGCAATTAAACAGGGCAATTACACATTGATTGCAGAGAAATATGTCTATAGATGTATAAATTTGAATGCTGGGAGCCGCCTGTGGATGTTGCAAGCATGGGAGAAGGAAAAATGCTACGACGAGCTTCCTGCATAGCAAACTCTGAGAACATGTCAGTCCCCCATCCAGAGTCGAGTCTACATGTGCAACATACCTTGAGACAAAACTATGAGCCAATAGGAGTCAGGGACTTGCAGCAGCAGCAACAAAATTGAGGTAGTGTAGGTGCTGACAGATGGTGGTTTTGGTGGGGTTCAAACACATCTGAACTGGTTCTGGTTAGCTCTGAACCCCGAACTGGACTTAAGGTTCGGTCCAGGGGCCATGCCGGACCTGTGACCGGACCTTGAGTCCAGTTCGGAAAGGTTCAGGTTCGAACCGAGGTTCAGAACCGAACTGCAGCAGCACTACTTCAAGGCAACAATGATGCAGTTGTTCCGCCCGCACAATCCTGGACTATTATTGATGGGATCATTAAATCAAAGGGGCATGTTGAGGCGCATTTCTTTGATGGCGAACAAGATGGGTGGCGCACATCAGGGACGGTCAAGAAGGTGATTGAGTTCGAGAGGGAATGGTACGAGAAGAGCATGGTGAGGCCCACTGTAGCAACCTGAACTCAGAACAATATAGCAGTAATATATCATTAAGGTGTATGAATATGAACTGATGAAGCAGAAAAGATATATGTATTTATCACAAGAAGATCCTGGAAGTGTGACGACACTGGTGGACCCTTGAAAAGATACCATTCAGCACGGCACCTGAATTTTGATTATCAGTAACAAAAAATGTCTAATGAATGTGTACAAATTTGTCTGAGTCATTTGGATGCCAGGTTGGTAGAGAGGTTGGTGCCCACCACATGATGGCAGAAAGATACATCAATATGGTTAATGATCCATAAATTGTGATACATACTTTACTATAGTTATCCATCAGTCTAGGATACATCCTGTTAGTATAGTTATCCTGGCTTCTAAAAGCAGGAATTCACTCCTATTTGGCTCGTCAGACTTCCCACAATATTGCCACACCGCATTTTAGCCCCACAGCATGGGAATTACCCCACAATGCCCAAAACATCAACCATTTTGGAATCTCCACAATATCAATTATTCCCACACCCTCCCCACCTCACTGCAGCTTCACCACTACACCACAACAGGTCCCCCTTCATATATAAGTAGTAGTTTGGAATATATATGTATAATATAATATAATATAATATAATAGACCACTTTTTTTGCTCATTTATGTACCTGCTCCTCCTCCAGAGACCATTTAACATATAATAGGATACAGAGTACTTTCGCATTTTTGCCCCTATGGTAGGGAAGTGTCCCAGGTTATTCAGAACATGTTTAGGAGTATACATGAAGAGATTCCCATCTTTATTTTACCTCCTGGAGCCTTCTGCATCAATAGATATAGCATATATATGAGAAAATACAAAATATGTTCTCATTTTAGTATTTCCAGGTGGATAGACTTCAAAAAATGATCCCCAGCATCTATTTAACAGTAGGAACAATGTATCAGGAGCCCAGGACCACAGGACAAGACCTTGTTGTGTTGTATATCTCCCCTCTCCTGGTGGTTCACCCCCTGTGAAAATTTTTCCTGCAGTACTGGGCCTCAAGTATGGTAGGGGGTCTATTTCCATTCATATTTGGAGTATATATATCATATAACTAGCTCATTACACCAACAGGATACTTCTACAGGAACAAAAACATAGAAAATCACATTTTTGATGTTTTTGATGTTTTTCAGCATCTTACCCTTGCACATTGTAGTGGTACACCCTGTCAGGTGTAGACGTGTCGGGTGCAGGAGCAGAGCAGAGACAGGCCGGCGGGAGACAGCAGAGCGAGGGGCAGGGGTGCCAGGGGGCTCGGCAGTCCCCAGGGGACTTTGGTTGTAGCTAGTCGCGTGTAGCCCAGCAGGCATCATCATCATCATCTCAGTGGTTCTTGTCTTCGTCCTTTCCAGAACGCAGTGCTGGTGTGTCCAACATATGATACAACCTGCTCATATACAATTAGTGTAGCATACATACTTGCTTTTTATGACGAAGATCAGCTACATATAGGGCGGAAGTTTGGGATCTAATGTAAAGGGGACATTTTTACTGATAAGAGACCTCCATGATAATCAAGGGTATATTTAGTGATCAGAGGCCTGTAGTACCTCTCATATATATATTTGAAGATAGCCTTGAAGTTTCAGAAAGATCCACGAAGTATTGAGTGAATGAGAAGCAAAATGATATGTGTGAAAAGTGACAATACACATCTTTTCACACAAAAACATATTTATATATAATACAGGTCGAAGATTTTATTAAAAATATGTAGGATACATAGTAGACTACCTAAGGAACCTATGCTACATACTGCCCTGAGAGTAGAGGATAGGTGGAAAGAATGTAGTGTAGATATGAGTTGACCCAGTATTACAGTCCTACCACTGCTTAACTGACCATTTTCGATGTTTTGAGCATTTGAACTTTCCCACACTCAGTTTCTGATCTACTTCACTTCCACAACTCTCAGTTCTAGGTGGATCTTTCTGTAAATTAGGGTCTATGATATTGAATACATTTAAAATGTGCTCCAGGTGTCTGATCATTAAAAATTGATAAGTTGAACATATGGGCCTCTAATCAGTAAAAAGGTCCCCTTTACATTAGATCCCAAACTTCCGCCCTATATGTAGCTGATCTTCGTCATAAAAAGCAAGTATATATGCTACACTAATTGTATATGAGCAGGTTGGATCATATGTGCAAGGGTAAGATGCTGAAAAACATCAAAAACATCAAAAATGTGATTTTCTATGTTTTTGTTCCTGTAGAAGTATCCTGTTGGTGTAATGAGCTAGTTATATGATATATATACTCCAAATATGAATGGAAATAGACCCCCTACCATACTTGAGGCCCAGTACTGCAGGAAAAATTTTCACAGGGGGTGAACCACCAGGAGAGGGGAGATATACAACACAACAAGGTCTTGTCCTGTGGTCCTGGGCTCCTGATACATTGTTCCTACTGTTAAATAGATGCTGGGGATCATTTTTTGAAGTCTATCCACCTGGAAATACTAAAATGAGAACATATTTTGTATTTTCTCATATATATGCTATATCTATTGATGCAGAAGGCTCCAGGAGGTAAAATAAAGATGGGAATCTCTTCATGTATACTCCTAAACATGTTCTGAATAACCTGGGACACTTCCCTACCATAGGGGCAAAAATGCGAAAGTACTCTGTATCCTATTATATGTTAAATGGTCTCTGGAGGAGGAGCAGGTACATAAATGAGCAAAAAAAGTGGTCTATTATATTATATTATATTATATTATACATATATATTCCAAACTACTACTTATATATGAAGGGGGACCTGTTGTGGTGTAGTGGTGAAGCTGCAGTGAGGTGGGGAGGGTGTGGGAATAATTGATATTGTGGAGATTCCAAAATGGTTGATGTTTTGGGCATTGTGGGGTAATTCCCACGCTGTGGGGCTAAAAATGCGGTCACATTGGATAATCCGTTTGAGCAGTGATTTGTAAGCTGGCAAGTGCCCAAAGCTTCTATAAATGATTCTCCTCAAGGATACATCCTGTTGGACAATTGGATAGTTATAGGTAAGTATGTATCGGTATTTATGGACTGTTGTCCATTCAAGATGTATTAATATAGTGCTATGGGCTGCAAGAGATAAAATTTACTGTGATATATTTTGTAATACAATTTGCTCCTCATGTAATGTATTGTTGCGAGTGATGGCTGGCAAATAGAAATGCAATATGCACGACTCTACTGCCACTATCCTGTTGCAACATAAGCTTACACTTTGAACCCTTGGACAAGTCACATGCAGGTCATGGTCATTCTTAGCTAGTGACAAAATAATACTTGGGGACCGAACACTATGTATCTGCATTATTATGGACATCACCAGCATATCTTTCACCTTCATACATCACAATCTCCTTCTTGTTCCCTTGTAACCTCGGTCTGTATTCAACTTCATGAACATGCACCAATTCGTTTTTTCTTAGATCCATCTTAGTGGAAACACCTACTCAGCAAATAATGCTACTTCGCTGGTGTGCCTTTAAATCGGTCTTTTCTCGACATTGCCAAACATTTACATGTGAGAGCGGTCAGCAGATTTACGTAGAATGTTGTGATGCTCCAAAATATATTGCTTTAAATAGCTTTGTCATCTGTTCACCGATTCACTGATGGTTGTAAGGAGCAACTTTGGAGCGAATGAAGAAACTTTGGTGGGGTCGCTATCAGCCAAATGTAGAACATGACGCGAGGGACTAACTCATGAGTTCCCGCTAATGTGGTCCGTGAAATCTTTGAGTGGCGGGATAATGCTCAAGCCGCGACCGCCTAAGTCGTTCAGCAAGGTGAAAAACACCTTGCCGAGGAATTGGGTCGCAACCCCAGCTGTGGTGAGGGAGTCGACGGAGTTTGCCACGAGAATGTTATGGGTGTAGAACTGGGCGTCGACACGCTGAACGACCGTCATGATCGGCCATGATGCATACGCGTGATGCGTGACAGAGAATTTTGATTGATTCCCTATTATTAGACCTCCGGGGTTTGCTGTTCAATTGAATGCTGTGTACCTGTAAATTTAGACCTCTTCTAGTATTGAATGGCAAGCGCTGTGTTCTCATAATAATGCTTCCTGCAAACACCTTGACGAATACTTCGAAATCGTAACCTCGGGCCTCAATCCTTGATGCTCCCAAATCCAATGATCATCTCGAGCTACAGTGCATCTCTCTTTTCTACATGCTGTTGTCGTTGTTGTCGCTCACTTGTATACTCTCTGTTCTTCTATGTGCATTGGCTTATCCTTTCCTGCAGTGTGCGATGTTTGTCTGCAAATAGGCACATGCCGCATTGCTCATATGCTTGACGAACGTTGTTGTCCATTGCATGCGGTTGCCCATACCATCTCAGATTATCATTTACTTTATTGCCCCGAATTTCATCTGTTGTGCTTCGAATCCCCTGGAGACTTATGTTCCAGACTTTCGTGAGCGCCGAGGCCATTGTTTGTTCGTGCACTTACTGTTTGCAGACTAGTACTGTTGGTAGTTTGACGGTGAGTCTATTTGTGGTGACTCACGTTGAACAAGGTACCCGTGTTGTCGTCTCTTGTCTTTCAGGGATCAGATTATATTGGTTGGCTTCTGACCAATGTCGTGATATGATGGTGTCTGACATTTCATTTTCTTGCTTGTTTCTTGCACAGCTCCGCTATGATCGCAAAGCATTTGAGCGCTTTGATGGCCCCCTTCCGGCTCTCTGGGCGGGCTTTCTCACCTGTAGTACTGCCCAGCACAAGGCCGTCCCATTGTCTGTCCTCATTCTCGTGCTAAGGTTGGTAATGGATCGGTATTTCGCATTCAGGAATGCCTTTTATTTCCGCAGTCAGCCGGCTCTCAGATCATCAGCTGTCCTTTCAAAATGAAGACAAGATAATGGCGGAAGAAAAGGGGCTTGCTATGCATGTATAGTTTTGAAACCACATGATGGTCAGCTTTTCATAAATGTATTTGTAAAGGCACTTTACTGCGGACAGAACCCTCCTAGGCTAATCTGGACTTAAAGAGGTCCAAGAACTCGCGAAGGCTTTGGAGGGTAGCCTGCCTATTCAGCGTAGGCTGTAGTGATGGAGTTGCAGAATTTGAATGTATAATGGTGCCATCTTACGACACTGGTATGCAGATGTGCTGGGGGACCGAACACAGTATGTACGAAGTCCAGGCTTAGTCTGAGTCATGTGTAGTCTTAGATAAGGTAAGTTGTCACTCTTGTCGACCACTTTCTTATAGTTTTTGTCTCAGTAAAGTCTTTAGCACTACACCAAGGTCCCTAGACTAGCGGAGAGGGTGTCTGTCCATCTAGGCCTGAGTTTGTACTAGAGATCGAAGGGACAGGGGTATTTCCACAATATGACGGCACCCGGGTACCACTGGAATGTTGAGAGTGCGCCTGACCACCAGGGCACCCAGGACGTCACGATGTCCTGACATATATGAATGCAAGACAGTAACAGTACCTTACTCATTTTCTCTTTCCGTTTTCAACCGTATTCTAACTCTATTCTAACTCTATATAAGACTACGAACACGCGCCAACGCACCTCAGTCCCTTTAACCGTGACTGAGGTGTGTATCATATTTTTCCTCTTTCTTATTCCATTATACTCACTATATACATTAGCCTCGTACTCTAGGTTTGTAGTACTACATTGAATGTAGTCCCTTTAACCGTGACTGAGCCTCGTACTCTAGTTCTCGTCTCTCAACAGGTTATGAGCCCTGGCTGAAAGGACAGCGGCATTACCCCATCTCTCGCATCAGCACTTCTCAAACGTCCGTTCACCCATCACACTTCCTACCGGGTTCCAAACCAATATCGAAGTGTCACCTCTAACTGTCGATCACTATGACATCATCGGACTCTCTCCCAAAAACCGAGAAGTACCCGCACGAGAAACTCACTCTCGACGGCTCTAATTACTCCCAATGGGCGACAGGTTTTTAAGATGTGGGCGGGCGGTATTGGACTATGGTCCTATGTCAGTGGAGACGAAGTAGAACCGTCCCCACCAGCCCAACTTGCAGACTCTGACCAGAATATCCTCCGCAAGGAGAAACACGACGAGCGGGTGAAGCTCTACAGACAACATCGACTCCTCGCCCTCAGTGCTCTCTCCACCGCCATCGATGCACAGGACTTCGTCTATCTACGTGATATTGACAATCCGCACCTTGCTTGGATCGCCCTGGAGAAGAAATATCTTCCCCAGAAAGCCATTCGATTCAACCAATACCTCGATCGTCTATTCACGGTCCCAAAGGCGCACGACAGCACGTCCATTGCGGAGACATTACAGACACTCATTGTCCTAAAGTCGGACCTCGCAGCACTCTCAGTCGCACCATCCACATCCTCAGTTTCTCCACCCTCTACTATGTCTGGCGCTACTGCTATGAAGGAGGAATACAAGATTCCAGATGCCATCTTCGTGCACATCCTACTCCGTGCTCTCCCTGACTATTACGACCCTCTTCACCAAACACTCGTTAACAGCGATGCCTCGCTGGACTTCAACGACATTGTGAATCGGTTGAAGACCCAGGAGTTGCATCGTGCAGGGACCAGTAGCACGACAGAGCACGTCGCTATGCTCTCTGGACATCGAGGGAACAGTGCACCCCCCAAGACGAGTGATCGCGTCCCTCCCAAGGGCTTTGATGAATCAAAGGGAGACGGCTGGATTGTGGGATGGAGACCTAAGTGTGGCCATTGTCAAAAGGCTGGCCACATCTGGGCACAATGTCGTGCACGCCTCGCTAAAGATGAGAAGAAGTCAGCACCACGTTCGTCCCCTCCCGCTGTCACCACTAACACGGAATCTCCATTGGCAGACCGACCTAACGCGGATGCTACCTCACCCAACGCTATACCACAATCTCCATTCTTTCTCACCTTAAAAGAGCATACTGCCAATATCTCGTCCTCCCTCACTATGCCTGTAGGCTCTATTCATGTAGACTCAGCGTCCACGGCCCATATGGAGCCTGATATTTCACGTTTTGCCCACTACACGAAGCTCGATGAACCCATCCGTGTGAAACTCGCCGATAATCATGAGGTCCTAGCCCCTGGCTGGGGGACTGTACGGCTCGTCTTACAGTATGAGCAATCCTCAACGATTCGAGATTTTGACTTCCTTCACGTTCCTGACCTGCGGTGTACCCTTGTCTCAGTATCGTGCCTCGCATCTGAGTGCATTTCGTTCATCTCTTCCTCCAAAGGAGGAATGCTTCGTGCTGGTGATGGACACGGGCCACCGCTTGCACACGTCCATTCTCGCAATGGGCTGTACTTACTTGCTGCATGGTACATTACTGGTGCATCCGCTATGCTCACACAGTCGCCTCCTACTGCCTTATCCCTGCAGACCTGGCATCGCCGATTGGGCCATGCTGGATTCTCCACGGTCCTCAAAGCGAGCGAACACGTTGACGGACTGTCACTCCCCTCCTCATCACTCCACAGCACCAGTGGTGATGCTGACCTGATCCAGTGCGTCTCTTGCCTCATGGGTAAGCACCGGCGATCTCCCTTTCCAAACGCTGCACGACGAGCCTCGGCACCTGCAGAACTTGTGCACTCGGACGTCTGGGGACCCGTCAGTGTCGCATCCTCCACTGGCGACTCGTACTTCGTCGTGTTCACTGACGACTACACCCGCTACTCACTCGTATATCTTATGCGCGCGAAGTCCGAAGTCTTCGAGCTCTTCAAGAAGTTCGTGCCATGGATGGAGACTCAGTCTGGCGGACGTATCAAACGTCTTCGTAGCGACAATGGTGGGGAATATGTATCGAAGGATTTCAGTGAGTACCTAGCGGAGCGGGGCATTGAGCATGAAGTCACCATGCCCTACACACCCCAGCAGAACGGGGTTGCTGAGCGTGGCCACCAGACCGTCGTCACTCGTGCCCTCAGCTGCCACCACCAGAGTGGTTTCCCGTGTTCCTTCTGGGGCTGGGCGATCCTGCACTCTGCTCACATCAAGAACGTCCTCCCCTCCTCAGCCCTTGATGGTCGGACTCCGTTTGAGGCTTTCTACAGTCGCAAACCCAACGTGAGCTACCTCCGCCCCTTTGGCTGCCTTGCCTACTCTCACATCCAAGACGACACCCGTCGGAAATATGAGTTCGTTTCCCGCCGTTGCTTCCTCCTGGGACACGTGCACGACGCTGGCTATATCCTGTGGGACCCATCTGCGAAGCGCGTCGTCAGGTCACGCCATGTCCAATTCGACGAAGCCATCTTCTATGGGGACCCCACCTTATCTCCCCTGGGTCCGCTAATCCCTGATGCGGACTCTGACCAGGGTGTCGGTCCTTCGGTGGGAGGTGCTCCAGGTATCAGTCCTTCAGTGGGAGGTTCTCCCTCATCTGGTGAGCCACCATCTGTGACCCCTGCTACACCTTCTGTGCCACAGGTGTCAGTGGGAGGTGATGTTGACCCACCAGCCGAATCCCATGCATCCCACATATCCCAGGACGCTCCAGTCGAATCCCATCATTCCCAAGACGTTCCAGTCGAGTCCCATCATTCCCACAATGCACCAGCTCCTGTTCCAGCTCCACGTCGAAGCACACGTCCATGCCAACCTACTCAGCCTGGCTATACTGCTCCAAGTGGGCCTAGTGCCACGGCCATACCCACCAAGTGGGTTCCTGTAGCCGAGCGCTGGACCCATGTCCCAGTCCTACCTGACCCATCACCACCTCATGAATCCGCCATGCATACAACAGACACACCTTCATCACCACCCGTCATTCCAAAGTCGATCAGCGCAGCTCGTTCCCTACCTGAGTGGCCGCTATGGTCGGAAGCCTGCAAGTCTGAGCTACAATCCATGTGCGACTTGAAGACTCACCGTCTGGTACCTCTCCCAGCAGGAAGGAAGGCCATTGGATCCAGGTGGGTATTCTCACTGAAGTCAGATGAGGATGGCAACATCACCCGGCACAAGGCCCGGTTTGTTGCACAAGGCTACACTCAGGTCGAAGGGATCGACTACACGGAGACGTTCGCATCCGTCGCCAAGTATGACACCGTCCGAATCCTCCTCGCGCTCGCAGCAAAATTCGACCTCGAATTAGATCAAATGGATGTACGTACGGCTTTCCTCAATGCTGAACTCAAGGAGGACATATACCTCAAGCAACCAGCTGGCTTCGAGGATCCAGAACATCCGGATTGGGTATGGAAGTTGGAGAAGGCGCTGTATGGTTTGAAGCAGGCAGGATATGAGTGGAACCAGACGCTTGACGAGTATCTGCAGAAGGAGGGTTTCAAGTTTGTTCGAAGCGAGGCTGATCACAGCTTATATGTTCTCCACGAAGGAGACAAGATCATCTGGCTCGTCGTATACGTCGACGACATGCTCTCCGCGTCGAACTCATGCGATTTCCTTAACAGCTTCAAAGCACGGCTCAACCAACGCTTCGACCTCGCAGATCTAGGCCCTGCCAGACACTTCCTTGGGATGCATATCACTCGCAATCGCGAGAAACGACTTCTATCGGTCAGCCAAAAGACCTACCTGGAGAAGATTCTTGAAAACGCCGGGATGTCTCTGTTACGCACTCAAATAGATCTGTTATGCGGAACCCTAAGAGGGGCGTCGTCCGCTAACGTTCGTGACGTAACCGGAAGGGTCCGGTGTAGCGACTGAGACTGGCGACGTCGAGTCGGCAGATATCAGAGACGCGCGTGTCACGTGACTTCTAAGACGGATGTCTTCAAAGTCACTGACGATCTCAAAGTAAGGACAGTCTTGTCCGAACGATGAGTAGTCGATCGAGGTGGACTTAGGCGCGATGAGCACCTAAGAAAAGATACTAGAGACTGAAGCTGAGGGGGCTTCAGAGGGAAGTATGTTCGAGGGAAGATTGAGTAGATTCAAGTTAGGGAATCTAGTACAGAGTGACCGACTACTTATACTAAGTGGAAAGGGTTAAGGGCAAGGCTACCGTACTGTAGGTAAGGGCAAAGGGGAAACGGAAAGGGTATAGGTACGATGGTGGCAGAGCCTGATTAGTGATGTAAGGTCGAATGCGGAATGAGACCGAGAAACGTTGGAACGAGCCAACGGTAAATGATACAATGTGCAGCATGCACGAGTCAAAGGAAAGATAAGACAAGATAAGGAAAGCCACATTGGTGGCACGAGTCAGAACGAGTCATAGCCCGAAGGCACGTGCGCACGTTGGTGCGATAGGAGGGGGATGAGGGACGGGAACGGTCCCGAGGATCCGGTCAACGGATAGTCGGTAGAGAAGTGCGAGCCGGAGGCATACGAGGGCGAGGACGAAGGGGAAAAATGATAGGGGGGCCATGTAGCCGATGTTACTTGTAACAGTCTCAGTGTAACCCGGTCAGTACTCCCATGTCTCCAGGCATTGTACTTCAGAAAGCAACACGAAGTCCCACTGATGACGAGGCGACTGCCATCGCATCCATTCCTTACCGTCGTACCATCGGGGAACTTAATTATGCCATGCGCACCACACGTCCTGATATCGCTTTCGCCGTCTCATCCCTCTCACGTTACATGGAAAATCCCACCATTGATCATCATCGCCAGCTCAAGCACCTCCTCAGATACATACGTGGCACAACACACCTGACACTCGTATTCGGTCTCACTAACGACGGACTGATAGGTCACTCAGACTCTGACTATGCCGCAGACCGCGATGACAGCAAGTCGACGAGTGCGTATGTATATCAGCTGTTTGGTGGCCTAGTCAGTTGGAAGGCACAGAAACAGTCTGTCGTGGCAACATCAACCACGGAAGCGGAGTATATTGGACTCTCGAATGCTTCACGAGAAGCCTTATACCTCATCCAACTACTCCACGATTTCCGCGTTGACCCTGACCTCTACGATCCTCCCCTTCTCTATGGTGACAACCAGGCTAGCCTTGCCCTATCGAAGAATCCCAAGTTCCATGACAAGGCGAAACACATTCGCGTGCATTATGCCATTATCACCTCGTCCGCAGCCTCGTCGAATCCAATCAGATCAGACTTGAATATAAGTCAACTTCGAAAATGCTCGCCGACAGCCTCACGAAAGCTCTACCTCGTCCAGCAGTTAGTCGTCACCGAGAGGAGATGGGTCTCCGTCAGACTGCCCTGCGTGGTCTGGCGAGTGGGAGTGTTGAGAGTGCGCCTGACCACCAGGGCACCCAGGACGTCACGACGTCCTGACATATATGAATGCAAGACAGTAACAGTACCTTACTCATTTTCTCTTTCCGTTTTCAACCGTATTCTAACTCTATTCTAACTCTATATAAGACTACGAACACGCGCCAACGCACCTCAGTCCCTTTAACCGTGACTGAGGTGTGTATCATATTTTTCCTCTTTCTTATTCCATTATACTCACTATATACATTAGCCTCGTACTCTAGGTTCGTAGTACTACATTGAATGTAGTCCCTTTAACCGTGACTGAGCCTCGTACTCTAGTTCTCGTCTCTCAACATGGAAAAAAGGTCAGGAGCAACGCAAAGGCACTCAGAGCGGAGGGTGGGTACAGCCTATAAAATGCAGATCTGTTCTCCCAGATCTGCTGTCAGTTAGGCTCCATGCGGCCCTATGCAAGAAGATCCCGAGCCGCCCATCTCCCTGGTCATGAGTCGCCCTTCTTTGGCGCTCATACCTCGCACCTCAGAAGGAACACGAAGCTCAGGCCTAGTCTGAGTGATGCGTGGACGAAGGTAAGGGTAAGTCGTAACCCTTGTCAATCACTTTCTTACAGCTTTAATAAATGTCTTGTTGCTCGTCCCTTTCGCAGTAAGATAGACATCATCCACTACTGACGAGTCGTGACTGTAATACTAAGGGTAGCTGATCCAGGGGGATCAGGGCTATATCGAATACCGGTTGTTATCTTTACACACCCGTCGGACGAGGTTGCTGACTTTGTGAATCTTCAGATGCCGGGAAATGCAGTCTGCCGGAATGTCCAGCTTGGTGCGACGTTACGGTCAGATTGCGGGTCCTCGCTCGGATCGGCAGTATTTCTTTATCCAACCCCTTTTGATCTTCAAATCGCAGTTGGTCGAGACGCTATGATCAACCCAACCAAACAACTTTCTCCCTATATATAATGTACAGTGTTCGAACGACCCATTTCAATTCAACCACAGCCAACAAACCAACAAATCATCTCTCCTGTTGAATATACAATCATGGTTTTCTACGCATATGTCAAACAGGTACCAAAATCCACTCTTCGTTGTCTGCAATGTTAGGCTGAATCGCCATTGAGATTACGGACAACTGGAGCGCTCGATACGTGATTACCTTTGCTAGCCGCGAAGTTGCGGATGAGTGGTGGCGTGCCGTGTCCACTTCCGCCGTCACTAGTTTCGTGACTAGTGTTCAGCGTGTCGACGCCCAGTTCTACACCCATAACATTCTCGTGGCAAACTCCGTCGACTCCCTCACCACAGCTGGGGTTGCGACCCAATTCCTCGGCAAGGTGTTTTTCACCTTGCTGAATGACCTAGGTGGTCGCGGCTTGAGCATTATCCCGCAGCTTGAATATTTCGCGGACCATATCAGCGGAAACTCGTAAGTCAGTTCCTTGCAAGATGTTCTGCATTTTTCTGATGGCGGCCCTACCAAAGTTTCTTCATTCGCTCTAAAGTCGCTCCTTACGACTATTGGTACTGTCCCCCATCGTCTAACGCGACGAATGCGGTCTATGTTTCGCGCACCGAACGCACTCGCTTCACCATTAGTCGCACCGGCAGTGGTACTGCAGGGACCGTCATGATTGGCTCTGACAATATCGTTATCACGTTGACCACCGTTGATCTATCCGTCAACGTCAATGTCACCACCGGTCAGGTGATCCTCTCACTTGCTCCTCTGACAGGGTTGACTTTCAGTACCCTTTTAACCAACTTCACCGTTGGGCCTTCCTTGTCTGTGGACGGTGACACCGTGAAGGAGCTCCTCTACACGGAGAAAGGGGAACAGTGGGAACTCGTTTGAATGGATATCATTTGATCCAAAGGTTGTCTTGTACTAGTACTGCTATAGTCTCCCCGTTATGCATTTATGAAGGAAGGAAGGTATCTGTTCTCGTACTGTTAGTAACGCTAGGAAGCAATCATATTGTTTGTTCAACGCCTGCAATCAACGGTATGGCTTTGAGATGCATAAATCCTTTTAGCATCAACAGGTCTCTCTACCAGCCCACGACAAGAGTGTTTAGAGTTACCTCTTTCACTAACAGCCAGATGATTGATGAGTGCATCGATAAGTTTTGCATATTGTTGATCATTATTACGTACTATGATTGCTCTGATCGACGAGCCCAGCTCGACGTGATATCAGTATCTGAAACAAGCAAGTATCATGTCATGTTGGCGAGGCCAGATCCTACTAATAGCGTACCGTAATTGTTACTAGAAACACGACCTTATTAGTTTCGTCATGCGTCGTTCAACAAAAATCCCATGTACTAGATGGGCGCGCGCACCTGGCCAGTGGCTGCACTCGGATACATATCATCTGATGCCACATGTGTATGCCTCGACGTAGAGGAGTCAGGCCACCGACCAACCCGGTAGTTTTTCGTTGCAGCAACTTGAAAACAGCGGCGAATCACGCATCCGATTCCGAATGTGGCGTGACTCGCTGGACAAACTTGGACACATAATCAAACGCCACAACGGGTTCGCAATTAATCCTCCTGCCTCCATCTGTTGCAATGCTCCTTACTAGGACATGCATGGCTCTTCGACAGAATCCGTGTGGGTGCCCATAAAATGGATATTTGCACGTCTGGCTGGCTGTTACAACTAAATTAGCACGATCTGTCACCGTTCTGCGCCCCATCGTACTGGACCAGTATGGATATATCAGCTTCACGATGTCACCCGTCCGTCTCGCAGGATGTCGAGTCACGTCTATCATGTCCCGATCAGTGTTGAACGTTATATCATGACGCCGCCGGTCATTATCGAATACAGTCAATCGTCTGGTAGTCCCGGTTGTGGATTGCAATATTTCAACGACCTTATCAATTACTGGAATTCTCAAACGCGGCGACACCTTGTTTGGAGTCTCCTGGGTTGAACAGTCCTATCAGAATGGTTCTGCGCGATGGTGGAGGGGAGGCTCTCGTTCCATTTCTGGTGTTGTTTGGCCATCGTTCTGTAGGATTGGTTCCAGCAGCTTTTCGCGAACGAGTTTGTTCTAGTCCTCCTGTTTGTCGGCACAGAATATCCACGGACTTACAATGCTAGCGATCGCCGATCACACCCAGAAAGGCAAGCGTAGTATTGCACTTGCAGTTTGAAACTCCATTGCTGAAGACTATAAAGTCAACTGCCCGCCCGCCCGTTCAGTTCCAGAAAACCCTTCTCCCTTCTAAATTTCTTCCTACTAGTATATATCACTGCATCAGTTCAATCGTATTTCTTTTATCTTAGCGTAATGTCCTCTCCAGGAACCTCTCCGCGAGATTTGGCCCTTAGACTGGCGTCGCCGTCTTCCACCCCGCTAGATTTTGTGTCCTCCCCGCACATCTCCTCTCCGCTCAAACCGCCTTCGTCACCTCGTCTTCGGCAGCCTCCACTGCAGAGCCCAGGCGGCGGGATTCACTCACACCAGCGCAGGCCGTCTTTCGGCCAGTCGTATTTCAATGTTATTCCGCCGCACCCCATCCTTGGTTTGGAGGTCGCTCGTCGCTCCATCGAATCGTCCAGCCCGCAGACTTCACCTAGACAGCGCATCGTTGAACAGTTGTCGATGTCCATTGCAAGTTCTTCCGCTGGATCGATTCCCTATATGCGCCCTCGCTTGTCTTCTGGCTCATTCAACCAATATTCGTCACCTTCGCTATCTGGATATCGGCCACCGTCACTTGCTGCCTCTCCCATTCTAGAAGCCCCACCTCCTCATGGTAGTACACACACTCCACATCCAAGTCACAAACGTTCGTCATCATACAATCTCCCTGCGACAGTTGGTGGGCCTCATGCCCGCTTCAGGTCCAGCTCTTTCGTGCAAAATCTTTCGACGTCAGATCATAGAAACTCTCAATCATTTTCTTACTCACCATCTCGTCGTTCTCGATCCTCATTCCAAGCGAGTGGTTCGTTCGCCGATCACGACTACGACGAAGTAGATTTTGGTACTCGTATCAAGGGCGATGCCACACCTCCAGGACGCCCACCAAGGCGCTGGTGGAATATGGCAGCTCCATGGAATGCTGACGAGTGGTGGACCCCCGCAGATTTTTTATATCAAGACGAACCTAGAATTAAACCTGACGAGAGGTTAGATTCGATTGGTCCCGGCACGCGGTTGTATCTCCCACCTAGAGATGCGACGTCTAATGGAGAACCTGGAGAATTCATATCCAGGCCATTGGGTGTCGGAATCGCGGAAGCTGAGAGAGAAATATCGAGATCCAAGAGTGTTTTTGCTCCCTTTCGACGGCATTCATTTTCGCGGCATACAATGGTATGTGATGATGACCAAGGGGGAAATGGCGATAAGGAGAAGTGCCACAAATCGAAGGTGCTTTCTCGTTTTACCGGCGCCGAACTAGACGGTTTCAACAGGGCACAGAAGGTGAGCCTTCCCTGTCTCCGTCTCATTTTGTGCTTTCTCTTACAGAGCCTTGCAGAACGTCGTCCTGGCATGCCATTCAATAATGACACGAGACGGGCTAACTTCCGAACAGGTGAAAAAGGATCCCAGAGCATCCTGTAGGTCCCCTCTCTTCGATAATGAGAAAGGAAGTCGTTTTTATCTCCGTTAGGCATTGTCTCAACAGCTGGGACAATTCTTGATGAAGCGCTCCCTGCTTTGAAGACTATCCTGGAGTGTACGTATGATGTGGCTTCTCTGGTTCCACTACCGTTTTTCTTGGAGGCGTCGCGTACCCTCCTAATTATCTGGGAGGCGTGCGAGCAGCTTTCGGTGAGTTACTTACACCATGGCCAATTATCCCCATCGTTACTGATATCACATACTTCTTTGCCTTTAATGTCATCATTGTACAGTCGAATCGCCTTTCTTGCCTTCGCATTGTCGAACGCTGCGCAGGAATGCTTTACTTTGTGCGTGAGCAGATCGAAGGGGCCGGCCCCGTCGTTGGCAAGGAACTCGATGCGGCCTTCCACGTCTTTAGACAAGTTATCTTCCAAGTATGTTTTTGCTACCTCTCTGCCTCTGCTCTAGTATTGACACCGGCGTAAATCGTAGATCGAGAGGTTTCTCTGTAGAATCAGCCGCCGCCCAATGCTCAAACGTTTTATTAGGAGAGCTGAAATCGCAAAAGAACTTTGCAATTGCGATCAAGCTTTGATGGATGCTTGGTTAAGATTCACTGTATGCCTTTTTTTTGCCACACGATCATCATCTGAAACTTCAGCTCATGGTGCAGGCGACAGTATCAGTGAGGATTGTCAAGAATGTTTCGTGTCTCGATGGGAAGATTCAAGATCTGGGATCGGTTCTTTCGGATAACACCGCAACGCTATGTGCGGACCTAGCACATGCGCCATCAATTCCGGACCCAGAGACATCCGCAGCAAGCCAGAAGCGTAACATATGTCATCCACCTACAGAGACCGTCCCATCTATGCCAGAGTGTCTGTCGACCGCCGAAGGCGAGGTTTGTCGCGAGCTGCCCCCTATCTTCCCTGAAGACAATCCGGATAAGGAACTCCGTCACGACCAATTCCAGCTCGAACATCTTCCTGGCTTTATCAGTACTGCACTGTGCGATGCTGACGTCCTCAATGGTTTGGAGATTGAATGGAACGAAGCCGTCGAGATAATGAAGGCCATGCGGCGACAGTTGGAGTCCTTGCGCCATGCATTCTCACGGACGACCGCCGCCAGCGACAGTACGCTCGCTGAGATGGAGCTTCTGGATGCTAGCATCGTCTCTATGTCGAAGCTGCGCTGCATGCAGGTGCGAGGCGCCGGCAGTGACAACCCTCTTTTGCCATGGGAACTTCCTTCATGGACGATCACGCGGTGGGTGCCTTCTCAGTTTTATGTTGTGCTCTGTATATATATAATTGATCAGATATGAGGTCGACCGGTTTGAGATGATCGGCCAAGGGTCATTCTCTAGAGTTTATGCTGGATCCTGGCGCGATAGATTGGTCGCCATCAAGGTTCTCCACGACTTTACCCCAGCTTCGACATTTCGTCGAGAGGTCGAGCTGTGGCGCAGACTCAAACACCCTCAGGTCGTTCGTATGTTCGGGGCGAGTAGCGCTCATGGCTCCAAGCCATGGTTCATCGTGAGCGAGCTATACGAACGCGGAAGCCTCGTGGAGTGGTTGCTGACCATGGCACGCGATGATTACGCCACGCCACGCGAAGTGGACCAGTTCCGATTTATCTCTCAGATCGCTGGCGGGATGGAATACTTGCATGCCCAAGGAGTGGTGCATGGTGATTTAAAGGTTCGTGAGCAATACGATGTCCCTACGCTCTGCTCATGTACTGTTCCTTGGAACAGTGTGCAAATGTGTTCGTGAATGCAGAAGGAAACTGTGCCATTGCTGACTTCGGTCAGAGCGAACTCAAGGATGATGCCTACAGGCTGAGCGGGTGTCAAAGACCGAGTATGTTGACTTTTGAAGTAGCATTTTATTTCTGACCACCTGATTGCACAGATGGGACGCCGAGGTGGAAAGCGCCAGAAATTTTGGATGGTGCCGCAAGTCCGACAATGCAAGCGGACGTCTACGCTTTTGCCATCTGCTGCGTGGAGATCCTCAATATGGGTGGCATTCCTTATGGCACCCGAGACGACGAAGATATAAAGCGGATCGTGCTTGGTACGTTCAACGCATCTTGTCTGACTTTCAAGCTTGCTCATGTGTCTCTAGAACACGATGCTCGCCCAGAGGTATCCGATACCCCTCTTTCCACGATTGTCCTCCCAGTCATCACCTGCTGCTGGGCGCGTGACCCTCGTTGCCGTTCACCATTTTCCATGACAGTGTTTTGGCTTCGAGGCTGTCGGAATTTCTTACATCCGTATAGTGCGGACGGCTTAGCAACCCCTTGTACACCGAATGGTCCCGTGAACTCACCGGTCATTGGCTTTTTAGACCGTCTCTCTCCTGGCCTTCGAGCCATTGGTACACCCACTTCTGAAGGCCATTCTTGGCTAGCACACACTCCATCCATGTCCGATCATTATAGCACGTCGTCTGGATTTGGGTCTGAGTTCGGACATTCAGAACCAGATCTAGACTTGCCAAACGTTCCAGAGTCGTCTATGTCCAGCGGGACATCAGGTTTTACAGATCCAAACGCTGTCGGTGAGGCTGGCGCTGTCTTCGAGTACACCACCGACGGTCTCCTTGAGATGATGTCCATGTCCACGTGGGCACGTGCTATGCGAGACGAGAGGCGCTACAGGCTTTTAGCCAAGGACACCCACGGATATGGAGATTTGTGTAAGTCATAGCTCTGTTCACCATTATAGCGATCGTGTGCGCTGATACTCATTGCTTGCTAGTCACGACGCCTCTTTGGTATCCGTCACCTATCGAGGTGGGTGCTGTGGGATATGTATCCAAACCTGACGGGGAGTTCATAACCCTCTGCAACGTCATGGAGATTGGAGGAAAGAAAAAGGCCGAGGGCGACGTGGCAAAATGTATGCCTTCCTTGCGGGATTACGGTAGCATCAACATCGGGAAGGCACGTCGTGTTCATAACAATGGTTCGAGTATGCTGAGCAGATTCAAATTCGGCGGCAACCGTCACGAGTAAGTTTTACTTACTTAAGCCTGTGGCTGTATGTTTTATGCCGAACATTTGCAGCGGCGAGAACGTATCTCGCAGGCAATCATTTCCCCTGGAAGCTGGTAAGAAGACAGCTGCGGTCTACGCCGAGTCGTTCGAAATCCGGGACTTCTCCCATGGTAGTCTTCCCGCAGTTTCACAGTGGTTTAAAGACAACATACAAGTGATCCTGCAAGAATACGCACCGAATCACCCTATCCAGAAAGAAGACGTCTTTCTTGGTACGTGCATGTCAACGTCTACCTCCCTAGCTTAGTCCGAATAACGTTGTTTCACAGTGACGGGCACCGTAAACGCGCGCGACTACGCTCTCTTTGTGGCGGATCCCGTGTTGTCAGGGGAGGCATACTTCAACGTTTTCTCTTCTCGCAAAGCGAACCATCCATGGGGCACTTTCACGGTCAAGTCTGAAGGCAAAGAGTTCTTCCCCTCGCGGATCAACTTTACGAGTAAGGTATCGCGAATGCACAAGATCTGGGATACCATACTCCTTGCACGACTTCGCTTCGCGCCTGATGCAGAGGCGCCGACCTTGAACTAGGAGGTATCGTTTTTCTCATCTTATCCAACGAATTGGCTACATACCTTCTTTCTGTTTCCTGTACTGTTACTGTTCCAGCGGACATATCGCCGATTCGTATTGTATGTATGGGTATGTCATGTTATTTTGTAACGAGTTTTGCACGCCTACCATATCAAAGCATTCCGATTGACGATGGTAGAAGACGATGCAATTGCCACAGGTGATAACACGTTTCTCAAGGTGTGCATTGGTATCAGGAATGCGTAATGCGTAGTCCTTGCACCATACGTTTGCAGAATTCTCTGAAGAATTATATATAGTGCCTGTGGCAAAAGGTAATCAGCCCAACTGCAGCAGACGCTCCGGAAGAGTTGGCGACCTACATAACATCACGAGGTAGATAGTGGTCATTAAATATGGAGAAACAAGATCACTCCAGAACACCATCTATTGCCTTCAGCTCGTCGTAACACACACCACGGGTCTACGAGACTTCTGCTGTTTCCCAGATTTTACAAGACAACACAGAATCAGTGCTCAGAAAAGAAGGGAAAGGGTACCACGTTCAATAAGAAGCAGGATAACACGGTGGTGTGGCGTTCTATGCTGCACTATTGTATGGGCTCGTGTTGGCGAGTAGCACGCCACAGAAGGCCCACACCGGTAACGCCACAGTGACGATGGAAACAATGAAGAAACGAAGTTTGACAATTGAGAATATGCGACCACCAACTAGATCCCGTAAGTTAGATGTCGAGTAACTTTCGCAAGCCTTGACTTGGTCCTGGTAAATCGACTTTTTTGTGTTTTTCGGTTTTTTGTTGTCTTGTAAGTTGTTGTCTTGTTGATATGGTGGCACCGCCACAAGGCTGACAACATTGTTTGGTCCATATTACAAATTTAGATCTGGAAATGCTTATGTACGATGCTATGTTGATACCATCGATGACCGATACCACTATTCACTCATGGCGCCCAGAATCAACGCACGGGATAGGGAAGCTCTCAGGGCTCTGCCTCGGTTGATGCAGGTATGCTCGATTCTCTTCAAGAAGCATGACGACGCTGATTCCTTGTTTCTCGCTCTTACAGCGTAAAATTGATGGAGCATTGCGTGGCTCAGTCGAAGATCTCCGAGATGTCGTTGGTAGTCTCAATCAACTCAAGGATGTCACGCCACTTTTACTTCCCGTCTTTCACGCACAACTGGAGGCATATCCTATTCCGGACAGAATTAGTCCTGATGTTGTACCAGTGATCATGCTCGCCAAATGGTCCATGGGTGGCATTGTACAAATTTGTCATAACCTCGGCAGCAATATCAGTATTGGAGAACGCATTGTCCATGACGCTGTTGCTTCAAAGTGGGAGATGCTCTTCCCGTGGATGCAGTTCTTCAGCAACAATTTCCTCCCACCTTCGCAAAGACCCGCTGCCCTCCCACATGGCCTGTCTGTTAGCACTTACGAAGCCCTTAGGATTACCATACATCCACTATCAACCTTGTGTCAATTCACAACAATTGGCAGGCAGTTGATGAGAACGAACCCCACTGTTCAAGCATTCTTCTTCCGGGCTTGGGTCATCGTCGATGGGTTGAAGAGTGATGATGTCGCTGATCCTCTTCGAGAAGGCGACAAAAATCTCAGTGCACTGATACGTGCGAATATGTGCTCGCTTAGCGTTATTTGCATGGAAGACACCCCTGCGTCTCTGCCAGTATCTATCATCTCCTCTGTCGCCGGCGGAACCCTCCCCATGGCCTCATTAGCCCTCCGATATATTCGTCGTATGACTAAAGAGGTGTCCAATATGCCAGAACCTCGGTTACGAGCAAGAGAAAACGTTGACTTCTCATCCATGACAGTATGTGCTACTGGTTTGGCTCAAGCCATCCTCTTCATGCAATCCTTGGGCGATAGAGAGGGCGGTTGTCACGAATTGCTCCTCCAAATCGGCTCAATTCGTACTGTCCTAAGTGCTATCACAACACTCTGGGAACGACTCCTAACCCCTGCTTGGAATAGTTCCGATAATGAACCAGATATAGGGCTGGCAGCGCGACGCAGAGTGTTATATATAGCATATCGCTATATCGGGTATTCAATGAATTGCGCAAATGACTCTGCTTTGGTGATATCTCAGGCCATTCAGCATGGGCTACTCGAATGTCTCCTACGGACTGGGTCATCGCCAGCTGAACATGTTGACAATACCAAACGCTTTGAGGATGACCATGACATTCAACTGCTCAAAGAGCTTCCTCGGTTCTTCGTATTCTCAAAAGTGCTACGGGTTCTTCAACCCGCCCTTCAGAGATTAGATCGGCTAGGCCTTGAAGAACGAGCGTCCCAAGACCCTGTATTATGGGAGTTATGGCAAGCCGTTGACTCCGCAGCCCGTACCTTCACCAATTTCCACGAGCTGCCTGAGGGAGCTCCTTTCTACCGGTATCAATGTTGTAGCCCGAAAGTGCGTTCGAGAACGGTCCGCTTCTCTTCGCCAACTAAAATCCTTAATATCAGTGCTCTCTCAATTTCTCTGAAGACGATGTCACAGCATATCGTTGTTCAGGGTGCATGCTGACACGTTACTGCTCAAAATATTGCCAGAAGGAAGCTTGGGAATCCGGCCACCGTGTTCACTGCCGCATGCTGCGTTCTGCTCTCGGTCAGATTCTTGTCCTACGCATTTATAAAGTCTTAACTGATGATCAAACTTAAGGCAATCAAGATGTGCGCGAGATCCGCAAAAGTTTGCCCGTTATTGCGATGATCGAGTCTTGGATATGCGAAGAACGCGTCAACGAAATCAGGGCGCTCGATAAAGATGTGGTGAAAACCTCCGAAAACGATCGCTCCATCGTAGAGGTGGACCTGACCGTTTATCCCATCGAATTGAATATGTACTCCTTGCGGGACTATTTCCTCGTTTCCGGCTCTCATACCTTCGAACGAGAAGTTGCTGAGTCGATCACAACCTCAGAAGATAGCCCATACGATCTGGTTGCGGTCAAGGTCAGGCTTGGGAGAGAGTATTATTCTTTGTTCAGCCCAGCAACCGCTTTGGGTGTCGCGTTTGGGTGGACGTCGGGCATTCAAGGAGGACGATACATCCATGAGCATCCTCGGACGCCTGATCCATGAGATTGCATGAGAAGTCTAGTTTGGCAATACCTTCAACCAAGGTATAGTCACTTAGCACTTGCATTCTGGAGCTCGGACGAGGCGCGTTACTGAAATTTGAAGCGGCATTTTAAAGGTCGGTAGGTCTTTAAAAGAGTTATGTTCACGTATTGATTTTGTCGTCAAAGGAAATCGCGTGGTTCACAGGACTGCATGGACCCCCGGAGGCCTTCAACTTATCGTGGATAAACGGTATCTGGTGCTGTGACGCGCATTGGAAGATGCAAAGATTGGTTCTTTAGAAATAGCCCTACAGCCCTACTCCAATGATTTACACTATAGCTTTGGCTAGCTGGGATAGCCATATACCGGACAAAGTAGAAACGGACTCTTACTTACCATCTCCATGCTAAACTCCTGCTTCTGACTTCACGATCAACAACCTTCAACAACTCGTTGTGAGCATTGAGCAAGGCCGATAACTCATAAAAAGAACCGTGTCGTATGCACAACACAACGCATACTAGGTGGATGCTTCATTGGTATATTAGGACTGATGTCGAAGATGCAAGCAGTACACATGGGTCACAAGTCGAAGCAGCCATCCAGGATTTGCTTCTGACTCGACTACATTGGCAGTGGTTAGTTGAGGTTACATAGTGCAGAAGGGGTGAAACTTGAAGGGTCCCCTTATATGACTGGAAGGCGCGGGTATGTTCGACTGGCCTAACTCCCGCTATCTAAGTACCCAAGTAACAGACGGAGTTGCAAATGAGTCAAGTACATAAGAACTTCGGTGAGCGACAAAAACGTGACAGAGTAAACGAAACCGAGATAGCTAGAGCGCAAGAATGTATCAGGTCATTGGTACAAGAGGATGAAAGAGACCGCAGATCAATAACATGTACCAGATAGCAATACGACGTGGGACTACACACCGATATGAACGAAAACCATTCTCTGTTCGAGCGGTACTTTCGTCTTCACCGCGTGCGTAGCACAGTTGAGTGCCCAGGCCGCCTTCGTACAGTCCATGACACCACCATCCTTCAAATCTCCAAACATATACCCGTAAAAAGCTTCGACGACGTGTTTTGCGACAGAGTCGTCAACCTCCCACAGCGTGCCAACGACGCTCTTGAACCCTGAAAACTGAATACCAGCTGCGAGATGGATCACTTCGTCGGGCGTCTCCTCATCGCCGACGGCGGTATGACAAGCTGATAAGAACGCGAACTCGGCCTGCGGAACATGTCTCTCCATGATATCGAGCAGCGTCAAATGTTCGTCTCTCATGACAAAATGCGAATCGTAAGGCTGCTTAGGGTCCTGCTTCCCATGACAAGCAAGGTGCACCCATGTGTTTTGCTGCAACGCTTCGAGCGCACCTGCTCGTGTGGCTGCGTTGCCAGAAATAGTGGTGCGGTTGGCTGTCGCAGGGACGAGCTTATGGACAAGCTCGAGCTCGCTGTCGACGGCCAAGAGCGCCTTGCCTTTCCCTGCACCCGGTTGACCCTGTCCGATGGCCACAAAGGATGGAGGCACGCGCTTCTTCATCAACTGTCTAGATCTGATCAGAGCTGAAAGTGTTGGCGTGTAAGAGCAAATGTAGAGATCCTCCAGACATGGCTCCTTCCCAGAACGATCCGCCTTTGTTTGAAATGGGTGAGCTGCGTGGAGAGGAATGGACGTGAAAGCTGCAGTTGGACACAGCCAGATTCGAGAGCGGCGCTTTAGCTTGAGGACGTGCTCGAGTACGTTGACGATGGGTAGCATGATCTGGTCCCATATTATCCGCGAGAGCACTATTAGATCAGTCCTGGACTCGCCTGGGTTCATCCGAGATGAATCTCGTATTGCCCTGGTAAAGCGATCCTTGAGATTGGTCAGATCTGCGAGACCGATGGACGGCAAGGGGACATGATGGGGGTCTCCTAACGTCGGGACGATGATGGCGCTGCACGAGTATTGGCTCGCAATGAGGATAATGACGGGGCCCTGGCGCGCTGCTACTTGGAGGTCTTCATACGAAGGTGGAAGCAGGAACCGCGAGAACGCCGGAAGATCGCGTATCTCAGCTACCGCGGCTTCCCATTGCCTGGTAAGTATCCTATACTCTGTTGCTTCCCAATCAGCAGCAGCTCTGTCGGTGACGGTTGCAGAACTCTGGGCTGCATTGGAAACGCGTTTGCTCAGCTCTAAATAATTACGCGCCAGTGTCGGTTTTGCTGACTCGAGTTCTTCGACTGGGGTCCTGAGTCGAGATGCCAGCGACCACTGCTGTCCACGGCCCTGCTCCACAAGTTCAACTGCTCGTGGTAGATTATTACGACGTATAGCACACGAGGCTGCATCTACAGGCAGTGATCTAGCATAATGAAAGGCAGCAGCAGCTTCCCGCCGTGAAGTTGCCGACGATCGTGTTGCCAAATGAGCATCCAGAAGCTCGAAAAATGTCGAGTAGGCCTCCAGTGCGGATCCATCACCATGCTGCTCTGCTGCAACAGCCCACTTATGTGCCTGAATGATGCGGTTTGGAAAGCCATGAGTGGGATGTCGTGATGCGAGTCTGAAGTTCTCCACTGCAAGTGCTAGATCGCCAGGCTTGTGCTGCACGCAGTAACGAGACATATAGGCTTCCTGTAGCCTGAGATAGGAGTAGTGTCGATCTGGGTGCAGCGAATGCAAAGCCTCCAATGATTGTTGGCAAAGAGTAATGGCCTCCTCGACATCTTCAATCTTCTGAGTTTGCGTGAAACGAGAGCAGAGTACCGAGCTCAGATTGAAAAGAGTGATGTGGCGCTCTGGATGGTCAAGCCGGGTTAACCGAAGGGATTCGCGAGACTGGTCAATAGCCTCATTAAGATCCCTCCTGACATGTGATTTGTCATATCTAGTCTGGAGTGCGAGGGCAAGGTTATTAAGTGTGGTGTCATGATGTAGATGCCCAGGTGGGCACAACGTTAATGCCTCGCGATGGAGGCTGATAGCTCGGGTGATGTCATCAATGTCGCTGCGTGTGTTGAAACGGGCGACGAGGGCAGTCCCTAGGTTATCCAATGAGTAATCACGAAATTTGTGTCCAACAGGGCGCAAGCACAGCGCTTCTTCGTGCCAAAAGATGGCCTCATCAAGGTCATTAGCTTTGCCTTGATGATCAAAGCGGGACGAGAGTGAAAAGGCCAAGTTGTCCAGGTAGTGATCGCGGTCAGCATGTCCCTCCGGACACAGAGACACAGCTTCACGACCAAGTTGTATGCTCATGTCAAGATCATCGATGCTACCATGCTGATCAAAGCGTGTTTCAACTGCTTGTGCAAGCTCCTCAAGGGATCTGGGACGGAGTTGATGGCCCAGAGGACAGAGCTCGAGGACGACTCTTCGAAGGTGGATGCCTTCATCGGATGCGTCTGTTGGAAGGTTGTTGCATCCGCCGATCACACGATCGACACCATTTTCCCCTGCTGCAATGATACGAAGGTACGTGCCCTCTGGACAGAGAGGCAGTAGTTCATGGTAGAGTTGGGCAGCTTCCCGGATGTCGGCAGCAGTACTTTTCTTGTTGTGGTGCCAAGTCAGCGCTTGGATGAGATTGTATAGAGATAAGAGATGATCGGGATGATGCTGCGGACGCAATGCGAGGGTATCGCGGAAGAGGGAAGTAATGGCATCGATGTCTTGAAGATCATCTCGGATGTAGCCTTGAAGGCGGGCCCACGCGAGGTTGGTGAGAGCCGTTGCATGGTCTGGATGGCTGACCGAACACCGGTCCAGAACCAACTGAAAATGGTCTACAGCATCGCTCAGGTGAGAGACCGTCTTGCGTCTCACGTATTTGGCAAATTGCGCGTGGCCCGCATCTGTGTCTCGAGCAATTTCGCCGTCTGCAAGGGACTACAGTTGGTAATCTATCAGTAAAAGTCGACGGAACAGAGAAAAACGTCACTCGCATCAAACAGTACGTCGTCCTGATGGTCGCAAGCATGTACAACGGCGGCCTTCAGCTTGACGGAAGGGTGGACACCGCGCACGCGTGGGAAGGACAAATCTACGGGACGTTAGTACAACTGCATAAATGAGAAGCGAATCACTCACCGAATGGCTCATCTCCATGATTGAGTAGCTCATCCCACGACATTTGAAGTGCTCCGATGACCTCTCCACCCCCTAGCATTCGACCAAGCTCAAAGGTTGCCCTGATCTCCACTGACAATGCAGGTGAGGAGTGTGATGATCTATAAACAGATAATCAGTTCTCGCATCGCGTCAGAAAGTCTGCATGAACTTTACAGAGTTACAGTATTCCTCCACACTACAGATTTATCAGATGACAAGACACTGACGGCCGATTTCCAGCGTCTCCGGGAGTCGACATTGATGGATATGTAGATGCCAGCGGGAATGCGCCAGGAGGGGACTTGAAGACTCGTTCCGCTAATGACTGTAGATAGAGGTTGAGGATCATGACATTGATCCGAAGGTAATATGAAGAAACTCGCCTTCAAGTCTGATATATCGGCGTTTTGAGCGACGAGGCATGATGTTACGATGGAGCAGATTTATGAGGTTCGAAGACGGGTTGAGTGGCGTGGACGGGGATAATGATATGGGGACTGTGGATAGAGTTCAGCTGAGAGGGAGGTTGAGGGTTCAGGTCATGCTACGGCTGTCGGCACGATATAGAGTCTAGACGCTGATATGATTGCACTAAGCGCTGGGAATGGAAATCACCGACCAGGATTAGCGGAAGAATCTGCATTGAAGTGGAGAATGTCATGACCAGGGTCCAGTTGTAGCCAGCCATTGAGGGGGGCATGTAAGTCTCAGAGTGATACCGAATTGTATCATACTACTCAGTCAGTACACCAATATTTTGGCAAGATGTAGAATCGAGTGTATTTCGCAAGGTAGTTTGAATTTTGAAACCAGTGAAGAGTCAAGACGGCGCACAAAGAAAAGCCGAATGTTTATATATACGACTCGTATGATTGATCTGACAGCGCTATGGGGGGAGAATGATCTTGTATCAAACTAAACACTGTGTGATCAAGAGGACATGGTCATTGGTGTTGGTGTGCCTTGACAATGAGAGGAACAAGGTCAGCGCGATGATTACAGGTTGCCAATTCAATTTTCTATTTATTTGGCCGTGAGTCATGTGACGCACTGCCACCGACATTTGCACTCATACCATGCTCCTGGACCTCCCCTGGACGCTGCACCTCCTGGAATTCCAAAGCAAAGGGCACTTCTAATGTGTCTTTTTTGCCAGAGTCATCACGAGCCGAATCTCCCATGTATCAATAGAACATCGTCTGTGCATTCAATTTACATCATATTAAAATATACTCATATAAGATTACAGATGACGCTCGTGGCCAGGCTGGCATACACTATCACAGACAAGTTGATTGCGAGTCTAGCAGGTACGCATGATTATGGCTAAAAACACAACAGACCTGGTTACAGTGAAAGCACAAACGCAAAACTCAAGCCATTCATCCACCGTCATACGAAGCCTGCCGAATGTGATTTGGACGTACGAACAAGTGCATCGATATCACATTCAGTATTTTCCCATTTCGCATGCAGCTCGCGCCATGGAACAATCGTATCCCTGCTGCCCGTTTTACCTTGAACCAGAGTGAAATTCGAGTGAAAGCTTGGATTACGTCCACTCCAACTCGTCGTGTCGAAGATCTTAACAGCCAAGTCGGAAATTATATTCGTCAGTCTGCTCGATTTGCCTCTGGTCTAGAAGAGATTGTCCAAAGCTTGTGAAACCTGTGGCGATTAATATCCAATATGTGCAACGATGATCTGGACCACCATGCAGTATAAAGGATGGAAATGCGACCGTCTGCTCCCTGATGATGGATCGTGATGTTTCCGTGTTGACTCGGATATGTTCCGCTGCCAAAATCGACGGTGTGCCGGGTCTCCGTCCTTCTACATTCTTGACTAATGCTCGAAGTCATGTCAGAAAGTAGCACCGAAGAACAACCACCGGGAGTACTCACCAGCAAGTCCTTGACATATATATATATCGGCTCTCCACTTGCTACACCCCAACTTCAGAAAGGAAAAGGAACACCAACGTAGCGGCGCTTCCACGTGAGAAATTTCCCAGTCGCATCAGGGCCTGGGCGCCTACTTGCGCGTTGCTTACAGGTTCCTTAGAGCAGAAGCGCAGGTTATGATCCCACTGTGGGTTGGCACTTTGATCTGGCTACCAAATTGAATCGCAGTACTGTGCAGAAAAATCTCGATTACAGATTTCAAGTGAACCCTGCAGTCAGGCTGGCCTCACTATAGAGCGGAAGTAGTTTAGAGACCGAATGACATTTCGATTGGTGGTGAATGACACTGGAGGAGCGAGCGCGGATAGGCGCGGATCTTGTCAGGACAGCTCGCTTGTGCCTGAAATGTCTGATTTCGAACAAAGCGCGTCCCGGAAGCTATATCGCATCATGCACATACTCCCGCTTGATCCATCCTAAGAACAAGGGAGGATGATAATGTGCATGTGTGTGCAGTGCCAATACTCGAGTCATTCACTATGCTTATCCACCTTAGACTTCAGTAGGCATTTTGAACACTTCAGCAAAAAGAACAAAAGAACTCTATGTGGGATGGCAGTACCGATGGTCTAGTTGATATATACATGCTGGTGGGAGGCGCACGAGTACGATCGTGCTACTTCTCGGTGCTTTTGCCTGATTCGAATACTTCCTGGTGCTGTGAACTGGCATTGACAGCGCTGAGGTACGTGTCTAAAAGGCAATGATCAAGATGAAAGGGCTTTCGATAAACTCAAAACTTACTCCAAAACAAGCTGACAACGCTCACGACAACAAAGCGGAGGTGATGCGGTACGATAGCGAAGTTGATGATTTGGGTGGGAATGAAGACGCCCCTAGATCTATTTCAGTGCATGATGCGTAGGCAACAACGCAAATATTACCAGTTACGAATCAATGTTGGGGCATACGCCTGGGAGACACGTGAGATGGTTACCAGATTCCAGGGGGGATTGGCTTACAGTACTAATGCGTTCCTTTGCACCAGAGATACCCTTTCCCTCCATGATACTCATTGTGCCAAAGAAGAATCCGACAACCACTAGAAGAAAGCGAAGAGTGAGAAAGACGAGTAGATCCACGTGTAGTCAACAAACCAGGAGTCAGGACCGCCTGGTCCAGCCAGACCTGCAAAAAGGCGATCATTCCTCATGAAATCCGAAGAAATAGTACATCCCATACACGATATACCACAGCCTTCGTAGGACTGGAGAACTTGATGCGGTTCAGAAGTTGATACCATTTTGTCAAGGCTGGCCCAAAGAACGCTCCTGATAAAATTAGGCATGGATTAGGCTAATCCCGCCCGCACTTGGTTCATCTTACCTCCATAAAAAGTGAGGCGTGCAGTGCGCATGAACTGCGCAGATTTGATCAAAACTAGTTCCTTCTGTAGTCACACCAATGCTCACATCATGATTCTTGCCCTGGCGCTCGATGACTTGCTGCGCGATCACATCACCTGCGCCAAATAAAACGGCAGCAGTGGCGGACTGTGCCAATACGGGTCTTCGGATGAGAGCGGCACTGAGATACTTGAGCAAACAAAACTAAGAATGGATGAGTTGAAGCCACCGACTTGTATAACCGAAGAACTGAGGCCATGGTTGAAGAAATCGTTTGGGGTAATTGGAGTTCTGGGGAACTCCAACGTACCAAGTTGTAGACTCGGAACCGCGGAAGTTGAATTCAACGTGTGATATTCTTGCTACTTAGGCTGTCCGATGTACGTAACTTGACGCCCGCGACGGTGGAATCATGGGGAGATAATTTCGGTAGTTGTATACTGCTCGCTGGGGGAATGAATGTCGTGACGAGTATATTCAAGTTACTACTCATACTTTCTGATCTCTCGCTGATATCTGAATCATACCTAGTCCTCAGCTTCATGAAAACTTACATAATTCATACTGGAAGGACATAACATGAAAAACCTTTCGACCATTGCATTTTAAACATGTCTGTCATTTCACTGCTTGCGTTATCTCTCGCTCTAATCATCAAGCACGTTACCGGCATCTAGCAGTCTCCAGTATCGTGTGTCAAGATGCACGCATAGAAGACGGTGCCTTCGTTTGCAAAAAAATGCAAGTCTAAGATGCGCCAATATTCCTGATCCGAAACTGACATTGCCTTGGGAACAAAAAAAAAAATGCTTCCCGTGTTGATTGAAGGGCGGACCAAGTATTAGTGTGCGCACACGAGTATTTCCAGCTGTGCGCATGCAATGGCCGACTCGGAACATGAAATCTTCTTGAAACCATTGGGTTGCCACAGGCTTGGTCACTGTTGCTGGAACGCGCACAACCCTGACCTTCGTCCGCCGAGTGATGCTCTATTCATACTTGCAGCCCATTGAGAGTGAATGGCGGACAAAGGAGGACTATGTTTGTGTTCACAAGCACATGTATTCTGCATCCCAATTAGCATGGGTTCGGGAACTTCGCACGTACCCGACATGTATCCATTGTCCGCACACTGCCGCCGTTGCAAATTTAACCAGCGATCTGGTACTTCAATTGTCTGTGTCTTGCCATCCAAATTTTAATCTGATAAGGAAGTAACCATCAACCACGTGCGATGGACTTGAACGCCAGGTGAATGTGTGAAGGGCTGATCAAATTCAATGTATGGTGTTTCGGATGGTCCAACGCATGGCCAGCCATGTGGCGATAAGACCCAGATACGCAAATGTGCGACATGCGTAGTGTGGGCTGGTAAGTTTGCGTAGTCATGTAATGTCGAGCAAAATTCCATACCTTTGGTCTTCTGATACCTCTTGCTACCTGCCGAGAACTTGCATGTTCAGTGTTCACTGTGGGTGTGTGAATCCCTCCAGAAAACCAAGATAAGACATCAAACTTAGAATACTCACCAGCAGCTTGGTCAAGTTTGAAGGAACGAACTTCTTCTAGGCTTCCACCGAATGGACAAGAAAACAGCATGATTTAAACTTCATGACTCGGAAGATCAAGGGTAAACGACAGCCTAAAAATCTCCATTATGAAGGATGATGATTATGGTTGCGGACTATGCGCAACTCCAGATGCAACCGTGACCTCAAAAAGTCAGGATCAAGGCAACTCGTTATCGCCTGGGACTCGAGACTCGTGGGGGATGCTCCAGACCCAATTGCGGCAAATACCGGCGACTTCCGAGTCTCTTTGACTTTCTACCTTTAATATGCCAACACCATCAAGACACTGTGATCTTAACAAATACAGAAGTACCCGCAGTGACACAATCATGATGTATTCCTCATAGAGGAGTCCTGATACAGGCTTTTCATTTCATGTAAATCACCGAGTCGTGACTCACCCTTGCAAGGTAAACCAATACTAGCCTGAGAAGCTGTTCCTTCCATCAAAATGACTAACTGGACAGATACTCTTGGCATAGCCTGCACGAGCTGCAACGACCAAATTAAAATAACCAAAACCATATTCCGCGATTGTTTTTTCCAGTTTAGACTTCGTCGGAGCCCTGTCCGAGATAATCGGGAGTAGTTGATAGTGAGTGAGAAGTGAACAGTATGTACATCTTTTGAATCAGTTCCTGGAAGCCAGGGTCACCCGTCTTCGAATTCTATAGTAACAAGGTTAACTCCCTCACTCAGATTAGATATCAATCACGCTATTCACTGCAGCAGAGTGCATGCGTACAATTGGCACCGCGTTCCATGCGTTAGCGGAGATACATCAGCCCTACTAGTGGTATAAAGGACTGAAGTAGACGTGTACAACTGACCTCATCCCCGCTCTCTGAAGGATCATAGCACCACAAGTCGATACCGGTCATCCAGTCATGTCTGTTGCTGAAAAAGAGAACCCAAGGGACAACTACTACGTCCAAACCGTCAACATGGACGCCCCACCACCCCCTGCACCACAGATGCAGCCATTCCAGAGGACGTATGGTAACCCTGTATGTCTTTCATGTTTTACTGCTACTATGTCAACAGCATGTAATTGGCTTTTAGGCACCCTTGGGCATGATGGCCTACGGTACCGTCTTCCTGTGCTCTTCAATATTGACGCTCGCCTCCAAGAGCGTTGGTCAACCTAACTTGGTCTTGGTTTTCGCAACCTTGTCAGTTTTTGTTACTCGCAAATGATTTGATTGTAACCTAGTCATTTCCAGCTACGGCGGCATCTCACAAACGCTTGTGGGCATGTGGGAGATGTTCCTTGGGTATGGTTCTAACCTTTGGATGGAGAGCTACCACTAAGATTTTTCCATAGTAACACGTTCAGTGCAACAGTCTTTACTACCTACGGAGGTTTCAATTTATCTTTTGGTGCTCTCTACCTGCCTCAAATCGGCCTTGCGTATGTCGTTTGCAAGCATTGTTGCATGTCCTCTCTCACATAGCTTTCAGGGCTGCATACACCGTTGACGGGGTTGTTGGGCAGGAGTTCTACAACGCCATCGGGATCTACCTCGCCATCTGGGACTTGATTACGTTCCTCTTTTTGTGAGTCCGAGGAAGTATGCTGTACAGACACATCCTTAATAATATTACAGCCTTGGTGCAATCCGTACAACCGCCCCCATCGTTGTAACGCTCGGATTCACCATTTGCGCGCTCACTTGTCTTTCCATAAATGCTTTCACCGGTGCGTCTTCTCCCTTCTAGTATTATGTTCTATCTGACTCGCGATACGTAGGCAACCCACACTTTGCAACTGCAGGTGGTGCCCTTGGCATCATCGCTTCCTTCGGTGCATACTACGGCGCCCTCTCGCTCTTCTGGACTCAACAAACAACGTTCTCGTTCATTCGCCTCCCTCCCCTCATTACAGCCCCTTCCAATGTTTAAGGACTATGCTATTAGTCTTCAGCCGATCGCTCTTTCTTTTCTTCAGTTTTCATTCTCAACTACGTTTTCGGTCTTGGTTTGTATTCGATCATATGAGTAGAAGACGACTATTTACCACAGCGCCAGCTTCGGTTCCGGGATGATTATAATAAATACTGGAGCACGCATGTACATAGGAGTCACGTGAATTACTCCCGCGGGAACAAACCAAGTCTGGAACTCAGAATGACATAAGAGCGCACGGCGCTTGACCGAGCACACACGAATTGCTTCCGCAGGATCAAACGTTCCTTCCTCATCTATATATATTGGACACCTGTTCATTTCAGCGCTTTTGCTGATGTAGAATCTAGGGTCTTTTGCAAACTGTAAATGAGTCGTGAGGGCGTTTTCCGGCACTTTGTTTGTTCAGGGTTTGAGGTAAGTCAAAAGAACCGAGTAAGGTCTGACTTATAACAGGTACCATGAACTCCTGCCCGGGCCCTGGCAGTAATCTCAGTGATATCAACAATCGACATACAGCAGGATCTAGGGAGATGGTTTACCTCCACCGTCAGGCCTTCCTTGGGTTTTCCACGCTGTGGAAATATCTCAAGGCACTCTCGAATGGACTCTTTTCCCCATCCCTCACCCTTTTCCGGCGCCTGTTTGGCGGTCTGTTGAATGTCCCACATTCCTGCTTTTCCCGGAATCCTATATCTTCATTTCTAAGTATTTACCGACCAGCTGACAGTGGTTTTAGTATTCAATCAGATGCCTCGGCGGGAGTCGCTGCGATCAGTCTCCGGGGTATTCCAACAGTACCTGCCAACGCATCCAGTACGTTGTTTGTTGGTAGTCAACCAGATTCTCCTTGTACGGCTCATAAAGTTTTGTTACAGATAATATTGCATGCAGTTTGGCACCTGTTGCTATGTCTCCCTTGGCACAGTCAGGAATGATCAATCTTCAGTCGCAGTCGCACCAACACAGTGCACCACCAGTCGTACCAAATATTCATTGCCGCCGTAAAGTTCCCTTTATAGCTTCATCTGTTCAAAGATACGGAAAGGACATAAAAATGTAAGTTATTCTTGATGCTCATCATGCGGCAGCAGCTTGTTTAGGAATGTGCACCGTATAGTGAGCCTTCTAGCGGGATAGAAAGTATCCACCCTGCCGTTAGACAGTACCCCAAGTAAGTAGTAGATATTCTGGTAAATGATCCTCAGCTGATGCTATGCAATTGAGACGCCATTTGCCTACTGATTGGGAAGCGCATGTTCATCCCGAGGGTGCCCTGTATTTCTATCATCCGGGGAAGGTCAGCTCTTCTTCCTGTCGTGATTCATGACACTGACGATTCTATTAGAGGGTCTTCACCGATACAAACGTGCAGGACTTCCTCGACGATTTGAACAACTGTGCAGATGATCTACGCGCTCTTGCCGAGAGCAATAACATTGACCTGACTCATATCGAGCTGACGCTGCAGCTTGGCAAGCATCCGAATACCGGAGAACGAGTCTGCAGTTATTATTTCGCTGACCGTGTCGAGCGCACCATCTTCTGGCTTCATAAATTAGATACCGAAGACCTTTTTAATGGAGTCAGAGGGGTGGAGGAACACAGTCATATCTGTGAGCACCTGCCCGATGTGACACAGGATGTGCGGCACAGGAATTGAATTGACCTCCTACAGGTTATGTCATCCAAAGCCAGTACTGGTAACCGTCCAAGTTATCATTCTGTGAGTATCTTGATACAACATACTGATTGAATGCTCATACCACATTAGTATTGCAGTTCGAGCTAGCAACTCTGTTGAAACAGGATGCACTGTGAGCTCTATCCCAACAACAGAGAGGAGGAATCACAAAAGGGACTTCTTGCGGAGCTCAGAGAAATCATTGTGCATGCTAGTGCAGGTCAAATAACTCCAATTTTCGTTTATTTAACTCTGCTCATGTCTCCGCCTAGACGTCATCACGTCTGAAACGTCCTTGTCACCATTTGGAGGGGAAGACCTCTCAAAATACTGGATCTAATCGATCACCTCAAAGGTGCGCAGAAGTATGGCATACATATAGCCAAGTTCACTCAGATCAAACATTTAACAGAAACTACTTCAAAGGAATGTGGCCCCTACTCCATATGCGTCATTGGTGCGTCTTTGACACTTTCAAATCGCAAGTTTCCTCGCCTCACGTATTCTGCTTTAATATTAGCACGTTTTATGCGATACTTCGGTATGGTTGGTCGTTGCATCAGTCTTTTTGCGGACTTGACATTCAGGAATAGCCCGAGCCAAATTTTGAACTTCTGCGGCCAATCTTGTGCACGTTTGGCAGCTGACCAGTCAATATATTTCACGGATGATGAGCACATCGTAAAGTCCGTAATATCTTGGATCATGGAGCTTTTGTGTTTCGGCGCTCCCCATGCTCAGATGAAGGAACTGCGAAGAGTCTGGGTGGATAAAAATACACTTCACCTCGATGGAAAGATTTCAATGACAAGCTCGGCAGGGAATGGGTTCTATCACGATCTATGTGCGATATCATTTACCTTACTCGCTATTTCTGCTGTTCTAAACCGATACGTTCACAGTCGACGGTGATGCTAACTGTGGATCTCACTTTCCTCGCGGTGCCCAGCGTGAACGCTGACGAATCGCAATCTGTTACCATTATCGCAGCTTATCTGGCAACGTTCTGTGTAATTGGATCCCTAGTTGTGTCCATTTTACTCGCCGGACAAAACCGCAAATATGGCAATGTCTCTGCCGATACCGCTGTATGAGATACTTCTACCTGGACTGCGCTCGCACTAATAACCCTTGTGCAGGTCGTGTTCCTCACCAGAATGACAAATTCATATTTGGTGAGAAAGCCCTCGCAATCTTACACGGTCTTCCGTTCGCACTGCTTATGTGGGGGTAAGTACTCTCCACTCGGTTATGCCTGCTGATACTCAGACTAACCTCGAGCCAGGATGATATTCTTCCTCATCGCATTTTCCTCCCTGGTGTTTAAATCTACCTCCGACATACTTCGAGGAATAGTTGG